GACATATTGTACATATCGATATATCATAACTGGACATATTGTACATATCGATATATCATAACTGGACATATTGCACATTGAAAAGTCTGCCGCAGAATGTCCTTATAAACAGATTACTTAAAGGATTATAAAACAGTAGCAGTTCGTGAACACATATTGAAATTAGAATTAACATAATGATTCTACAGAGAATTAGCATACCTGTTTTAATACGGAGGCACTATGTACCTACCTGCACCTCACGTATTGATAAACCTAGATGCACGGCATTAAAATCACCAAATCAATGGGACATTTTTACCATATGCGCTGCTGCATGAAAACCTAACTTATGGGAAAATTGCACATATATTTACATGTATCAACGGCATTGCAAACAATATTTCCTGTTACACTGATCACCTGCATTGTTCTGTGTTTTGTAGACAGATCCATGTTACCTCCATACTGTCTCATTGTACAGCAATACAAAATTTTAAATTTCAACGGTCAATTTTTAACGTTTTTTTTACCCGCTCACGTGTACTTATTTGCAACACACTAATTACATTAACCGGCGAAAATAGCATCATATATATATTATATTGTAGGAACGTCATATATATTAAATTGTGGATATAGTGAAGGAATAACATCTAAAAGCTTTAATTTCTTTGCTGTTGTTTCGAAATAAATTTTGTTTCGATTTTGTACTTAGTTTCCAGGAAGTCTATATATATATACATTGTAACTTCCGGCCAAAGTGCAGCGCAGTGCGCACGTTTACAGATTTTTTTATCGAACTGCTTACTGCATAGTTTACTCGAAAGCTACCCTTGATTTATAAATCTTGTGGGTAAATTTGATGGAAACGGTCATTGATTTTCTTGTTATTTAAAGTGAGAAGACGTCATTAAATAAAAACAATTCATCCAGGAGAGGGTCGGAGTTAGTTATCATGAGTATGTCAATAGTCTAATGAGAGATTAACTAAAAACTCCACAAGGAAAACAACGAAAATACCGACATATTCAACAGCACAATAATTCAAACTCAATTTCGATGAAACTATGGGGAAAATCTAAACATCTTGCAAGAAAGTCAATATATGGGCCATCGAATATCTTAACATCTGCGATCTAGAAATGATGGGAAATTAAAAATAAGGAAATTAAAATCATTATGCTTATCATACAGTTTGGTGGAAAGCTGTTGTTTCCATTGTAGGAAGAGATCGAGGTAAGCGGCTGATAGAAGAAGCTACTATGAAAATGGTCAACTAGTTTCTTGATTTTGTAAGGCAAGACCTCTCCAATATTCATTTTTATATTTGGCAGTGAAATTTAATAACTTTGCCAACTCTTTTTGACCTGTATTGGTACTTTCTCCTTTTAATTCAGCTTCGTCTGAAAACAAAAACCAGTCTCCCAAGAAAGGGACACAGCTGGTTCTCTTAGACTTTCCAGTACCAGTAGTCTGTGGAAAATTTTACCACCAAACCCAACGACGGTTTCGTCGAGCAGAAATCCGGTTTCTTTTTACGATTTCGTCCTCAGTATATTTCTTCTTTGATTCAGACGTATTTTTAGGTCATTTGCCCCAAAGGGTCACGATGACCTATAGCCATTGTATTTCTTCCGTCGGGATTGAATAAATATTGTGTAACGTTTTTCCTTGGTTTTCAAGCAAACATAGTTTTTTTACAGTGAATGTAACGGAGTTTGCGGAAAAGGACCAAGTTACTGTATTCGATATCTACATTCATTCCTATATTTTCATGTAATTCACTAAATACAATTCCTGTTCATGATATTGGAACCAAGGAATGCAGACTTCGTTTTGTTTCCATTTCAGGAGGCTAAAATTTTCCTTTAGAGACTGATTGGCCAAATGAATTTAGTCAACTCTGGAAGTAAAAGTAATACATTATCCACTCCTTTGCATAGTTCTCTGCAGATTTCATAAGTACAAACTGTATCTTAAAAAATCAAATTTGAATTAATGGGAAGTTTTGCACTATTATTTTAGCACTAACAGCCTCAGTACAAATGACAATACAATGAGCTGAGTTTTTGAGATTCCACAAAGCACAAGTAACTTTTTTTTTACATCATAACGGCTTTATTGTAAATATCTAACAAATATATTGTAACAAGTTAACTGAATAGTAAAACTTCTGTTTCCCCAAAAGTGTATCAGTAATAAGTATTCTTGTTATATCACAGCATCTTATTCATAATTATTACACATTAATAATGAAATTAAATAAACAATTGCTATTTTGCTGACGTCAGCATATAAATCATTAATTGTAAAAATTATTCAAAAGTATAAAAAAACATTTCACAATCTTTAGTATTGTTACATATTCATCACACTTGTAACAAACAATCTAGGTAAACAATTATCACAAAAATTCTGCCATTATATCATCACGTTTATTTTTTTTATTATGTAAATAGTGATATTCTGTTTTGACGCCATTGCACCTTCATCATGAAGTTTTCGCATAACCCATTTAACCATGGTCATATGATATGCCAAATCTTAGGATTAGACATTTTTGTCATTGGTAAGTTACTGATAAAAATAAATTATTTTTCATTACTAAGATTAGGTAAATTTTATATATAAGTGCGGATCACATGCCATTATATGTATACATTGTTATGAAGATGCTGTTTCACATGTGTGACATGAAATACAGACAAGATGAAGTTTTCATGCCCTTGAATCAGTACATAAGATTGACGAATGATGAAGTAAGTAGTATTTTATGTTGATAAAATAAATTGTAGTTGATTAATACATACACCCGTAACAAAACTATGTAAAATAGTTATTTTGAAAGACAAGAGTGATCAACTTAAGTTCTACTGTTGTAAACATGATAAAACAAAACCATTAAGATGTCGCTATAGATATGCCCTGTATACAATGACATCATCATAATTCAAAATCCAGAATGTATGTTCAGTTTCCTGCATTTAAAAATGACACAGAAATATGACAAAAGGATCTTGACAAGCAAATGAAGAAATGTGTCTATACCCGTTACAAGCAAAAACAATTAAATTCACTTAATAAATTATATTATTACATTTTCCATAACAACAACAACAAAGAGTATAAAACACACCTAATAGTAGATAACATATGATAAGGAAGCAAGAAGATATAAAATTGCGGAGACTTTATCATACATTGTATAAAATAAGATGGCACTTAAGAGATACTGTGTAAATGCTCAGTCTAGTCTGGTTGGGAGGGTAAGCATCTTGGGCTCCATCACCGACCTCTGTACTCATGAGCCTTCAAGATCCTCGAATGTTTTCTGTTTGGCACTTATAGCTGTTTGGCACTTATAGCTGCAATCAACGTCATGCATCTCATTTCCACTAACTGTGGATCCTAAGGTGAGGGATGTTCAACTATGATCTACATGATCCACAAGACATGAGTTGTAAAACCTCTCCACCTCTCCTGTCGTCGTCCCCCTCCCCACCTCCCATATTGTACCTTGATAATCTTGACTGATTATGGTGGATATTGTTATTTCACTTAGTTTTGTTTAAGACTGAAGACCCGGGGTGCTCAATTGTTAGATATGCCCTGTATACAATGACATCATCATAATTCAAAATCCAGAATGTATGTTCAGTTTCCTGCATTTAAAAATGACACAGAAATATGACAAAAGGATCTTGACAAGCAAATGAAGAAATGTGGCTATACCCGTTACAAGCAAAAACAATTAAATTCACTTAATAAATTATATTATTACATTTTCCATAACAACAACAACAAAGAGTATAAAACACACCTAATAGTAGATAACATATGATAAGGAAGCAAGAAGATATAAAATTGCGGAGACTTTATCATACATTGTATAAAATAAGATGGCACTTAAGAGATACTGTGTAAATGCTCAGTCTAGTCTGGTTGGGAGGGTAAGCATCTTGGGCTCCATCACCGACCTCTGTACTCATGAGCCTTCAAGATCCTCGAATGTTTTCTGTTTGGCACTTATAGCTGTTTGGCACTTATAGCTGCAATCAACGTCATGCATCTCATTTCCACTAACTGTGGATCCTAAGGTGAGGGATGTTCAACTATGATCTACATGATCCACAAGACATGAGTTGTAAAACCTCTCCACCTCTCCTGTCGTCGTCCCCCTCCCCACCTCCCATATTGTACCTTGATAATCTTGACTGATTATGGTGGATATTGTTATTTCACTTAGTTTTGTTTAAGACTGAAGACCCGGGGTGCTCAATTGTTAGATATGCCCTGTATACAATGACATCATCATAATTCAAAATCCAGAATGTATGTTCAGTTTCCTGCATTTAAAAATGACACAGAAATATGACAAAAGGATCTTGACAAGCAAATGAAGAAATGTGGCTATACCCGTTACAAGCAAAAACAATTAAATTCACTTAATAAATTATATTATTACATTTTCCATAACAACAACAAAGAGTATAAAACACACCTAATAGTAGATAACATATGATAAGGAAGCAAGAAGATATAAAATTGCGGAGACTTTATCATACATTGTATAAAATAAGATGGCACTTAAGAGATACTGTGTAAATGCTCAGTCTAGTCTGGTTGGGAGGGTAAGCATCTTGGGCTCCATCACCGACCTCTGTACTCATGAGCCTTCAAGATCCTCGAATGTTTTCTGTTTGGCACTTATAGCTGTTTGGCACTTATAGCTGCAATCAACGTCATGCATCTCATTTCCACTAACTGTGGATCCTAAGGTGTGGGATGTTCAACTATGATCTACATGATCCACAAGACATGAGCTGCAAAACCTCTCCACCTCTCCTGTCGTCGTCCCCCTCCCCACCTCCCATATTGTACCTTGATAATCTTGACTGATTATGGTGGATATTGTTATTTCACTTAGTTTTGTTTAAGACTGAAGACCCGGGGTGCTCGATTGTTCTCAGGAAGTTGAAGAACGAATCAGTGTGGACTGACATGACTGTGTCCTTGGGCAAGACATTTTATCCAAATTGTTCCGGATGGTGTGTATTGGGTCTCCTGTATGGTTGTCCTTGAGAAAGCCATCAGCTACTATAAGGGAACCCCACCACAAAATCACCCAGGCTGTTCATTGGGCAATAAACTTAGCACACAAATAACTTGTTTAAGATATAATAGCCTTGACTGTGCCTCTAATGTAGGTGCGACACACTGGACACTTCCGCAGGGCCGAAGCACACATGGGACACGTGACCAAATGTCCACAAGGTAGGAACACAATACTGGCATCCTCGTCTAGACACACTTTACACCTCTTCTGTTCACGAAGTTCCAGGTTTTCTGCCCTCAGTTCTTCGATACCTAGAAACAACATTGAAAACAGCCATTAAAAATTTGAAAAACACTGTTTCTTTTCATTGGAAAGAAGCAATTCAGGTATAGATATTGTACTTAGTGTACTAAAATATTTTCAGGTAATTACTCACATGATTATAAATAGTCAGGATTTTAAATGATTTGCCGCAATATACAAAATGTAGAACTGCATTTTGTTGAACCTTGCAACACATATAAGATGTGAACATATCCGTCATAAAAAGGAATTTTTGTATGCAAGCGGTTGCAACCTTAAAGAAGGGAAGGTAAACTCATCATGTTTTGCTTTGTTTTGATGTGAATATTTCCGAAAAATACGACAGGATAAACCACATACATCATTAGTATTTTAAAATACAAAATTTAATTTTGACCACGAGTGTAAAGACAAAAATGATTTGTCAAAGATTTCTCAGCTTCATCCTTCCTTACGTGAATGAAAACCTTGATATTTTACAATGTAGAGGCGAAACTAGTCGGCCTCAATAAATTACCCACTAATTGGTGAAGCTTGGGTATGTTGTGATTGAATCTATCTTTATTAATGACAATGTATTCTTTACATTCGAAACACGATAATAAATCAAATTTAGATCATTTAACATGTGAATTAAATTTGTTATAATGAAGATTTACAAAACAAGGTACATGAATAATAATTTTTTTCTTTTCTGTTTCATCTTTTATTACCTTTTGTGTGAGTACTGGTCACTACTGATGTTGTTTCTGTGCCATTACTTTCACTTTCCTGATCGTTTTCAGAAAACTCAGCATCAGAAGTGATGTCGTCGTTATCCATTTCTTCGATTTCCCAGACAATAGGTAAAAGTTTTTCTGCACTTAACTCCGCTCCTGTGGTTAATCAACAAAGTACATGTAAAATAAATGATTATTCTTGATCAATTTTCCCAGTGGTTTATGCATTCATATCAACATGTAAGTGTTTTAAAACATTTTCTAGTGCACTTCTTTTCCCCAAACTGATGTCAAAATCTGTTAACGCGAAATAATACATTTTCTTATTTCTTCAGGAATAACAGACATTTCTTGTCCTTTTAAGGCAACTTTTTCCAAAAAATGAATTTCCTCTTTCAAGGAAAGTGATAGTGATATTGTTGTAAATAAGACAAAAATGTGAAAACGTAATATCTTTATCTGATTTAACAATTTCTTATTGTGAATAACAACAAAAAATGGCAATACTGAAAAATGTCTTGTTCACAAGCGAAATTTCTATAATCAATCACAAAAAAACTGAAGATTTCAACTAATATATAAAACAAAGTACATGAAAACAAAAATATTTAAGGCGTTATGTTAAAATCCATCATATATTGAATTATGTCCTATATTCAGTTAAACATGGCCTTCATACATTAGATTTATTATATGAAACTTGTCATTTTTTTTAAATACCGCCAAGTAAAAACGTAGAACCTACACATGTTGTAAACATTTTAATAGTGGTTTACATACCGGTTCGTTGTCTGTAGATGGTTATTGCTTTTGACAATAAGGATTTATTGTAGCCCAGTTCCATGATGCTTAACACAGCCGGGTGTTCCAAGTCGCTTGCTTTGTTTTCTTTTCTGGAGTCATTGCCCTAAAATAGATAATATTGTGTAGACATTAATAATTCTGGATAATAGGAAAATACACTGAAATATTCACTATATTTATTTATCTATATCATTCCACTGAAGTAACAACATCAATTTCACCAGAAGTCTGTAGTTCACAAAGCTGTAATATTTGAGACCTGCTATGCCTACCTGTGGTGTAGGTGGTTTCAGTGTTCCCGACTGGACACTCATTATGAAACCATCACCTTTGATTAGTCTCATGAATGGACAGAATGGAAACCAACGTGCATGCTCGTAGAAAGGGTCATCTTCTGGGTCCCATTCACGTAATCCACCTCCGCAGTGGAAACATCTCACATAATCATTTGTTCCTATAGATTAAACAAATAGAGACAAACATCATTTCATTTCAATCAAAACAGCAATTCTACATCATCTTTATTTTAGGTATCAGTAAAATTTATCCAAACTTCAAATTCTATGGGAAGATATTGTATGATTACAGTTTTATCCTCTGTAACAGTTACAAATAAATATAACTTTTACTTGAAATCTATAAAAATGTCTTTTTCTCAAGGCAAATAACAAGAAAAGATCTTTGTATGTAGTCTACAACCCTTTCTTCGGTTATCTCCCTTGGCAATGTTTACTTAATGTCTCTCTTTTGTAGCATCATATTACACTATTGAGTGTAATGTGAACGTAAACCAACCAAACTAATCTTGTTCAATCACTTTTCTTTTTGTACAAAATAAAACACTGAATACGTAAAGGGCAAACTTGGTCATGGTAGTTATGATATAAATTAATATATTTGCTGATTGTTCCAAAAATGATTAAAAAATAAAAATATATCTATATGCTGATTGGTTTGTTTAACAGCTAAATAGTAGAAGTTGTAGCCTTGCCTTCATAAAAGAGTCCTGCTTTGGCTAGGTCTTCGGGACATTGTTTCAGACTCTTTGGCCAGTTCCCAAAGGAGCTGAGACGTGTAGATAGTACAGCAAACTGCCGATACTTCGGTGGGACACTTTCCACGGCTGAATTTATGGGTGTTTGACTTGTAGAATCATGTCTTGTAACAGACAAAATTTCTCTACTTCTCTGATTGTGTGATTCCTCTGTTTGTGTCTCTGTTGTGTCTTCTCGTTGCTCGCATTGTTGTATTAGAGCATTGTTAGAAGACTGGGATGGAGAGTGTGTCGTAGCATTGCTGCACTTCAAACTGTCAGGAATATTTGGATCTGTTTCATCATTACTGAGAGATTGTTCAGTGCTGACATTCAACAAATGTTCCAATGGATCTCTTGGTTTTGGTACTTCTGCAGTCAGTCTTACACTTTTAGAATCATGAAGTTTTACTTTGTTGGTATGAATGCTGGAATTAGGGAATTGACATGTCTGTTCCTCCATTTTTAATTTAACCTGTTCATCAGGAGGTCCACCACATGCGCCAACTGAAAGTTCTTCTGGGATTTCCTCGTAAACAAAACATTCAGACTCACTTGTTTCAAAGAAAGAACACTTAGGTGAATTCTCCAGATGTATACTTCTGGGATTATCTCCCTTCTTCCATCCACCGTGCTTCAGTCCACAATGCTTACAATATGCTGTGTCACCAGATCCTTCGTAATGGAATCCTGCTTCAGCCAGTGCGGTAGCACTTACTTCAGATGAGTAAGGGTATGAAAAGAAACTTGCAAGACGTGACTGGTCAGACATCTTGGTCAAGGGTTTGTATACTGGTGATATACTTTCAAGAAGTTCAACTCCTCGAATGGATGATTTCATGATGATGTCAGGTTAATATCTGGAAAAATATAATGCAAGGTTTCTGTTACAAAAGATTGAAATATAAATTTCACATGATGGTGAAATAAAGGCTTATATGCTTTCACAATTTGCTGACTTATGTAAAAATTATCGTTGTGGCGAACAACTCAATGAACATTATAGAGACAGACTTACAAAGTATGTTTATTACATTATTTTGTAACCCAATTAATGTTTACATATCAATCATGCTTTTATGAAACAATTACCAGCAAACATATTTAGCAAAAGTTTCAAATAGATCATAAGTCTGTAAGGGATAGAAGGTTTCATTACCTTATGCCTTTCAAATATTGTACACACTGACATCGTGACAGCGTGTGTTATAGAAGGAGTAGGTCCATGATGGTGAGTTGATAAATTATTTTCGCCACTTCCGATTGATTTACTCGACATGATTTAACTCGTTTTCCTGTAAAGTTACGTGTAGAGATTATGATATGAACAATGCATATAAAAATATGTGTTGACATCTTATTTCTAGAGTATTGAATCTATAACAAAATGCCAGTAATGTTTTTCTCACAAATGTAGGAAACAATCCTAACACTAACAGTTCATGCAAAGGTGCTCGGATTCGGGATTTCGAGTTATGAATTCAGTTAATAACCAGAACAATTTAAACCTGTCTTTATAGAAACTCTGAAACCTTATGATAGTATGGGGTATCGATGTATAAACATAAGAGAAATACATCGATAAGCCTAATTGTTATAAGGTTCCATAGTGTGTATTAATACTGGATTTATAATGTTGTGGTTATCAATTGATGTCATACTGAGCCAATGTGAGAACCTTGTGAAAACCAACACGACGATTTACCCAAATATACCCAAATCTTACCCAAATATACCCAAATCTTACCCAAATATACCATTATCTTACCCAAATATATAAAAATCTTACACAATTTCCACCAATATTAACAATTTAATCTACCGGTTATCATATTTCAGGTCAATAACGTTTCTCAATTGCAATTGTCTCCCTTGAAAAGTGAAATCCTAAGCTAATCCAAATCGACCGACCATTTTTCTGGACAATTTAATTCATTACCATAGATACTTCATTCCCCACGAGATTCTTAATTATGCCGCAGTTATGATATTTCATGATTTATTTGGTATATGGTGAAAACGGCCTCACTGCAATAATGGCCCTAGTTGAAACGGCCATACCTGTATATAGTGTAATGTTGCGCTGGTACTGTGGGGATAGTATTGCATTAAGATGCTGATAATTTAAACAGATTTTGATCATTTAAAACATTGTATAACATCAATAAAACGCTGATATCTAAAAAAAAAATAACAGTTTTTAAGAATGATGTGTTGCGTTTGTCTTCATTTCAGCCTTTACCATTCTCAGTAATGGGAAAATAAATATTGCAAAATCTTACAGCAAGATAATTATATTCATGAAATAATTATTTATGCGTATTTTCATTTTCATACAGATTTTATATTGTTTTTGGTTTATTTTATATGAAAGCATCTTATTTATACAAAAATTGTTTTCACGTGATTTATTTCAATTTTTGATATGAATTTTATATTGTTTAACTTTATTGTTTATATATCAAACATTCTTTTGATATTATATTTATATAACAATTATTCCTGCATGATTTGATTTCAATACACAAATGTAAGTTGTTTATTTTATAATATTAAAACGTTGGATTTTCTATTGTTGTTATTGTCTTCTTCTTATCCTTGCCACAATCAACTTTCACGAGCTTTTTGGGGAACTTTGATAATATGCCTTGCATACTTTGTCTGAGAATTCAGAATTTTGAGAAAGTCTCGTGCAAGATAATCTATTTGATCATGTGTATATCGGTTTATTAGTAATAAAATATAATACCAGGAACGTATATATAACAGAAATACATCCCTGATAATACAGGGCCCGTTACGGCCCGTTCCTGTAAATCGTCGGGCCGTATTCTCTCCCGTGATGACAATCGTAACTGAGATAAGTGGACGGTATTCGGTAGATTTGATATTTTGTGTAGATTTGGGTACGACTTGGCTTCATTTGAGTATATTTGGGTAAGTTTTGTGTATATTTGTGAAAGATGTGGGTGTATTTGGGTATATTTGGGTGTATTTTGGTAAATCGTGGCGCCCGTGAAAACTGGTTATCCTACAGTTACAACTCTGATAGTGATTAATATCATAACTGATAGTGTAGAGGTTGTCCCAGATAAAAACAGACTGTATATCGTTAGCAACATTCACTAAATAAAACCTATTTATTTTACACTTCAAAGACAATGTCATGGTCGATAATACTGAACACATATTAAAATAATGAAATATAGGCTTACCTTGTGCAACGTCCGAACGATACTGGCTTCGGTGTTTCACAGCTCGATATATATAGTTTAGTTGCATAATATCATCCATAAATAGAACAGAAATCCCCAATAATGACTCATAGGTTATCGCGTACTATGCGTTAATGTGTGTAAACAGTTACAACAGTCATTTTATTTCATTCATTTCATCATTATTTTTTCTGCAATGTAATGGAACGCAGAGAATATTCTAACTGGTCGGTAGATAGGTAGGTAAGATGGTAGGTAGGGTAGGGTGAGGTAGACAGGTGGTTATTAGTTAAACATATATTTGTTGTAAGTTATATTCCTATGTAAGAAAGAAATTTACGTTTTGATATCGTATACATAAATTGTCTTGGTTTTTCACTCAAAATGGATAACGTTTGTAACTTACCTGTACTGCCTACATAAGTAACATCAAATATTAAAACCCAGTTGGCTAACGTTCCGCGAACGGTGTACTCACTGACTGTACCTGGCTTCTGAGAACGAAAATTCTCATCATCATCTATATTTTTAGTATTTTCATTACGTACGTTTTAAATTGGGAACAGCTGGTTTCATGAGACTGTCGAAACCAATTTCTAGTTTGGCTTATAAAAGTGAAAGTGTAGTAATCGAAAGGCAAAACAGAATTTTCCGTTTCTTATACAATATCATATACATGTATTGTCTTACTGGTTTGAATATAAACGAAAAAAAATTGTCTTACATGTATTGATATAAAAACATAAACTCTCTTACTGACTGTTATGTAAAACATCGAATGTCTTACTGTTTGTGATATAAAACGAATTGTTTTACTAACTGTTATGTAAAACATCAAGTGTCTTACTGTTTGTGATATAAAACGAATTGTTTTACTGACTGTTATGTAAAACATCAAGTGTCTTACTGTTTGTGATATAAAACGAATTGTTTTACTGACTTATGTAAAACATCAAGTGTCTTACTGTTTGTGATATAAAACGAATTGTTTTACTAACTGTTATGTAAAACATCAAATGTCTTACTGTTTGTGATATAAAACGAATTGTTTTACTAACTGTTATGTAAAACATCAAATGTCTTACTGTTTGTGATATAAAACGAATTGTTTTACTAACTGTTATGTAAAACATCAAGTGTCTTACTGTTTGTGATATAAAACGAATTGTTTTACTAACTGTTATGTAAAACATCAAATAATATAAAACGAATTGTTTTACTAACTGTTATGTAAAACATCAAATGTCTTACTGTTTGTGATATAAAACGAATTGTTTTACTAACTGTTATGTAAAACATCAAGTGTCTTACTGTTTGTGATATAAAACGAATTGTTTTACTAACTGTTATGTAAAACATCAAGTGTCTTACTGTTTGTGATATAAAACGAATTGTTTTACTGTAAAACATTGTTTGTGATATAAAACGAATTGTTTTACTAACTGTTATGTAAAACATCAAATGTCTTACTGTTTGTGATATAAAACGAATTGTTTTACTAACTGTTATGTAAAACATCAAATGTCTTACTGTTTGTGATATAAAACGAATTGTTTTACTAACTGTTATGTAAAACATCAAGTGTCTTGCTGTTTGTGATATAAAACGAATTGTTTTACTAACTGTTATGTAAAACATCAAATGTCTTACTGTTTGTGATATAAAACGAATTGTTTTACTAACTGTTATGTAAAACATCAAGTGTCTTGCTGTTTGTGATATAAAACGAATTGTTTTACTAACTGTTATGTAAAACATCAAGTGTCTTGCTGATTGTGATATAAAACATAAATTGTCTTACTGATTGTAACATAAAGACATAAGTTGTCTTACTGGTTATGTAAAAAAAACATAAAATATTTTAATTGGTAATGATCGATAAACCACGAATTATCTTACTAGTTATGATATTAAACTTAAATTGTCTTACTGGTAATGATATTAAACATCAAATAAAGTCTTATTGGTGATGATAAAATACATAATTTGTCCTACTGTTTATGATGTTAAACATTAATTGTCTTACCGGTAATGATATAAAGACATTAATAATGGATCTTTTCACACAAAATATTTTTTGGGTTGACAAAATCTTACTTTATGAATGAAATTTCCTGGTTGACGGAGAACAGTTGTGATACCCCAATACTTATCTGATAATATATTGTATACTTATACATAGAAGTGATGTCTTGGAAATCTTTTCTATGTTGTTTTAGATATATACGTGTATATCATGAATATTTCATAAAAAGCAATATTTCGTACCAGATTTCAAAATTGTTGGTATCGGAACTCAAAATCTATTAATGTAAAGGAAGGAACTTTGTCCTATCATTCATTATGTGTAATTCATAGACAGCTGTATAGAACATAATGTATCTGGCCGAGATATTAATGGAAATAAACGATTAAAAACTAGTCATTGATAAATAAGGGCCAGCTTCCTGCATTTTCTAAATCCATTCCCACTGGTAATACTCTAACCTGGGGTATTCATTTTGTTCAATTAAAATAAGATTTTTCCAAAATATTTCTTTTTTAAAAAAAAAATGGCCGATGTAAGTTTCCAGTCTTGTTTCTGAATATTTTCCAGTAGTTTGTGTTGATATGTACACCGCATTATTGTTTCGAGTTCAGATAACCATTGTTCATGTCGATATTACACAGGATAACATGTTTCTGGTGGCTATGATCTAAAAATAGACACACCTACGTACTATTTAGAAAACGTCATGTATACAAAATCCTTTGAAAAAATATATAAATCAAATACTCTTCCAGAAACATATTAAAGACAAATTAAATGTTGTATGTGCTTTTGTAGGTTATTTCTGCTGACAAAGTTATTCCGTAAATTCCATTGTGGATCATGTGAGATCTATAAATAGCTAACAGCCTGAGTCAGCACAGGTAATGACGGTAAATATACCCGAACGCCTCCATAGCCGTGTAAGTTTCCATCAGTGATCATTTCCAGTTCCCTTTTCATAGAGTTTTACCATGTTCGTCAAATGGTAAACTGAAATACGTCATTTACTGTTTGATGAATTAAAATATATTTTAAAAATATATTAAATCCAAACTTCTGACGGCTGTATTATCGATCAGAGCACAATTAATAACAATATATTCTATAATTAATTTGTATCTACTTTCTATATTTTGAACTAGATTTGCAGTATTCTCTGTTACGATGTAAAACGCCTACGGCACATCGTTAGTTTAATGTCTAAAGTCATTCTTCACCCAATATTAGTCATTACGTCTTGTCATCGAAAAAGTGTTCATGTTTTTTGGCAACATTAGCCTATATAATAAATGAATCATTTTAAATGATTTCAATGTTTTTTTGACAAACCATCTACAAGATTACGACCAACCTCATGGACTGACAATTATTGCCATTCGTGGGTATTACACATACTTACACTGTTAGATGGTCCGAATATATCATACTTTTTTATCACTAAATTATAGACTTTATCAATTTTATTCGACAGGTCAAAACATTGCTGACTTTATCGATGATATTCGACAGGTCAGAACATTGCTGACTTTATCAATGATATTCGACAGGTCAGGAGATTGCTGACTTTATCAATATTCGACAGGTCAGAACATTGCTGACTTTATCGATGATATTCGACAGGTCAGAACATTGCTGACTTTATCAATGATATTCGACAGGTCAGAACATTGCTGACTTTATCAATGATATTCGACAGGTCAGGAGATTGCTGACTTTATCTATGATATTCGACAGGTCAGGATATTGCTGACTTTATCAATGATATTCGACAGGTCAGAACATTGCTGACTTTATCGATGATATTCGACAGGTCAGAACATTGCTGACTTTATCGATGATATTCGACAGGTCAGAACATTGCTGACTTTATCGATGATATTCGACAGGTCAGAACATTGCTGACTTTATCGATGATATTCGACAGGTCAGGACATTGCTGACTTTATCGATGATATTCGACAGGTCAGAACATTGCTGACTTTATCGATGATATTCGACAGGTCAGAACATTGCTGACTTTATCGATGATATTCGACAGGTCAGAACATTGCTGACTTTATCGATGATATTCGACAGGTCAGAACATTGCTGACTTTATCGATGATATTCGACAGGTCAGAACATTGCTGACTTTATCGATGATATTCGACAGGTCAGAACATTGCTGACTTTATCAATGATATTCGACAGGTCAGAACATTGCTGACTTTATCTATGATATTCGACAGGTCAGAACATTGCTGACTTTATCAATGATATTCGACAGGTCAGAACCTGCCGATTTTCGTTTTAATTTGAGATTCCCTCTATTCTTCACTGTTTTATCTATTACTATTCAATCTCTTTAACGACTTAAACAACGTGATATATTTCTGTAAACACATTGTGACCTACGTATGTATTTGTGTACGTTTTGATGAAACACACCTCTACAATTAGGTGATAGAAACAGAACAAACAGAATGCATTACAATACAGAAGTTGTTTTAATGAAACGTCTTCAGAAAACAGATTACTCGTGTTCCGTGTTGTTGGACTATTTGAAATACAAAGATTTCTTGGTATTTTGTTTTTCCTTACAAAAGCACAAAACCACATGCGTATATCGTTAAGATATTTTACAGCAGTATTTACGGTTTTCATCCTTTTCCCATCATCATATGAAATGCTTCACAGTTCAATATAATTTTCATCTTTCAATGTCACTATTAGGAATACAATTCGTTATATAACTGCATTGGTAATTCAGTGTGTGCATCACATCACAAAGTTTAATAAAATGTGTTCTAAATCATAATTATGATGAGGTACCGATTTTGTTTCATTGCTGACACACTAAAAACGCTAAACGAGAAGAAAATATGATTCCCATAACAAACAAAAAAACAAAAAAGAAATCCGCCACTGTTATGATATAATAGCTTTGACCGTGCCCCTGATGTAGGTTCGACACATTGGACATTTCCGTAAGGCGGAGGCACACATTGGACACGTGACCAAATGACCACAAGGAAGAAACACGATATTAGCCTCTTCGTCTAGACACACCTTACATGTCTTCTGCACACGGAGTATCCGGTTTTCCTCTGTAAGTTTATCAATATCTGTGAAAATAGGAAACAAAACTGTGACGACAAAAATGTATCTTATCGAGCTTCAGATACACCGATAATTTTCTTTACACCTAGTTTACATGTAAAAAAGATAAATATTATGTAATATCTACCTTTAGTGATATCTTTCCCTTTCGCTACTTGATCGGTCACGTCGGTTTTACTTTCCAACCGTTTCTCTGCTTCCATGCGGTCGACATTTTCATTTTCAATAATCTGCGGAACAATGTTGTCATTCTCTTCCGCTTCCCAAACTATAGGCAATAATTGTTCGGCACTTAAATCCATTCCTTTGTAAAAAAAAAAATAATAATAATAATGATAAGCAATGTCCTCGAATAATAGCCACAGCCGGTAATTATCAAATATGATCAAAAATTAAGATCAAATGACCTGGTACTATTAAGCTAAAGGAATTATTACATATATATTTATTTTGAATAAAAATGATCCCACATACCATTGCGCTCTTTGAAAACTGTTATCGCCGTAGTGATAAGACTTTTACTGTAACCCATCTCCATAATGCTCAACACAGCCGGATGTTCCAACAAGTTTAAATTCTGCCTTGGTGCTATTTCCTCTTTCTCCTTCAAATAATGAATTACAACGACATCAATAACAGAAAATAAAAATTTTGAAATACGTGTCTCAAATCGCGATACAATTTCATCTTTACATACGATGGGGATGTGCTGTCGGATGCATGAAAATCTAACCATTTGAATCCTTACCAGTACATTAGATGGTGTTATTGTTCCTGACTGGACACCCATTATGTATTTATCACCCTTGGTCAGTCTCATGAACGGACAACACGGAAACCACCGCGCATGCTCGTAAAATGGGTCGTCCTCTGGTTCCCACTCCCTTAATCCTCCTGCACATTGGAAGCATCTGACGTAGTCGTTGGTCCCTGTAAATTCAATATCAATAATTCTACGTTCTAAAATTGAGAACCGAGTCAATTACAACAAAACCAGGAGGCATAGGAAAGAACCTCGAAAACATTCAAACAGGAATAAAAGAGTTTCCAATCAATGTATAATGGTGATCATTATCGCAGCCTTTGCCGTTGGCACCTGTCGAAACCCTACATTGCAAATTTGTCGTTCTGTTGTCGACATCTATGACGGAAATTATCATATTATTTCATCGAAATGCTAGCGATATAAATATCAATATCTTTCTTTGGGGGGAAAAATTAGAATCAGTATCATTACCTTCATAAAAAAGGCCAGCCTTCGACAGTACTTCTGGTCGTTGTCTGAGATAGGCAGGCCATTGCCTGTAGGAGTCCAGACGGTTTGCGAGAACGGCAAATTGTTGATACTTCGGTCGGATGGTATCTAATGTTTCTGTCGAATCAGGGATAGTTATGGTGTCCGAATTATTCATGGAGTCGTTACCTGTATCTGACGTATCTCCTCTGGTATGTTCATCACGTGACTCTACCGTTTGTGTTTCGCTCATTGCTGAATTTTCCGTTTTGGAGCAATGTTCCACTTCATTTCGATGACTGAAATTATCAGAATTTGCCGTAGAATGTATAGTGTCTCCTCCATGTACAGAATTATCAGTCACATCGAGACCCGATGCTTCTGATACGTGTGGGATCACTACGGCATTAGTTTCTGTTTTCTGTAGTGTGATAAAAGTCGAATTTGTGTTAATGTTTGGGTGTGTCTTGTCCTCCGTCCTTCTTCCTTCTGTAGCAAATCCACCACATGCACCAGACAAAGGCATTTCACCTTTCTTGGAGTCATCTACACCAACTTTAGCTTCGCATTCACTTGTTTCAAAGAAAGGACAGGTAGGAAAATTCTCAACATGTACGCTTTTGGGATTATCTTCCTTTTGCCATCCACTGCATTTCAGTCCACAATTATGGCAATTTACCTCGTCCTCGTGCCCTTCGTAATGGAAGCCTGCTTCAGCCATTTCTGTGACACTAACTGCACATGGATAAGGGTAGGAAAAGAAACTTGCAAGACGTGACTGGTAGGACATCTTTGATTTTGATTGTCCATATTCCATCCTTTCAAGTTGACCCAGTAAGCATTTCTTTGCAGTCGACGTTATCATAATGATGATTTTATAATCTGTAATTAAAGTAACATATTATCATCAAAAGTCAAACAAAGCCATTTAATCTTACCTTATATCACCATATTTATTTTACAACAATGCAAATCAACTTTTTTCCAATTTATATTAATCACACTTGCGAGGGGTCTAACTGTGGGAGGAAGCCCTTATATCACTACCTAACACCACTACTAAGTGTCACTACCTAATATAACTACCTTATATCACTACCTAATGTCACTACCTACTGTCACTACCTAATGTCACTACCTAATGTCACTACCTACTGTCACTACCTAATGTCACTACCTAATGTCACTACCTACTGTCACTACCTACTGTCACTACCTAATGTCACTACCTAGTGTCACTACCTACTGTCACTACCTAATGTCACTACCTAATGTCACTACCTACTGTCACTACCTACTGTCACTACCTACTGTCACTACCTAATGTCACTACCTACTGTCACTACCTACTGTCACTACCTAATGTCACTACCTAATGTCACTACCTACTGTCACTACCTAATGTCACTACCTAGTGTCACTACCTACTGTCACTACCTAATGTCACTACCTACTGTCACTACCTAATGTCACTACCTAATGTCACTACCTACTGTCACTACCTACTGTCACTACCTAATGTCACTACCTACTGTCACTACCTACTGTCACTACCTAATGTCACTACCTACTGTCACTACCTACTGTCACTACCTAATGTCACTACCTAGTGTCACTACCTACTGTCACTACCTAATGTCACTACCTACTGTCACTACCTAATGTCACTACCTACTGTCACTACCTAATGTCAGTACCTAATGTCACTACCTAATGTCACTACCTACTGTCACTACCTAATATCACTACCTACTGTCACTACCTAATGTCACTACCTAGTGTCACTACCTACTGTCAGTACCTAATGTCACTACCTAATGTCACTACCTAATGTCACTACCTACTGTCACTATCTAATGTCAGTACCTAATGTCACTACCTAATGTCACTACCTACTGTCACTACCTAATGTCACTACCTACTGTCAGTACCTAATAAACCTACCTAACATCACTACCTAATGTCACTACCTACTGTCACTACCTAATGTCACTACCTACTGTCACTACCTAATGTCACTACTTAGTGTCACTACCTAATGTCACTACCTACTGTCACTACCTAATGTCACTACCTACTGTCACTACCTAATGTCACTACCTAGTGTCACTACCTACTGTCACTACCTACTGTCACTACCTAGTGTCACTACCTAATGTCACTACCTAGTGACTACCTAATGTCACTACCTACTGTCACTACCTAATGTCACTACCTAGTGTCACTACCTAATGTCACTACCTAGTGTCACTACCTAATGTCACTACCTAGTGTCACTAGCTTATGTCACTACCTAATGTCACTACCTAGTGTCAGTACCTAATGCCACTAGCTAATGTCACTACCTAATGTCACTACCTACTGTCACTACCTAATGTCACTACCTCGTGTCAGTACCTAATGTCACTACCTAGTGTCACTACCTACTGTCACTACCTAGTGTCAGTACCTAATGTCACTACCTAATGTCACTACCTAGTGTCACTACCTAATGTAACTACCTAATGTCACTACCTACTGTCACTACCTAGTGTCACTACCTAGTGTCACTCCCTAGTGTCACTGCCTAATGTCACTACCAAACATTACTACCCTATGTCACTCCCTAGTGTCACTCCCTAATGTCACAACCTACTGTCACTACCTAGTGTCACTACCTAATGTCACTACCTTCTATCACTACCTAGTGTCACTACCTAGTGTCAGTACCTAGTGTCATTACCTAACATCATTACCTAGTGTCACTATCTAATATCAATATAGCCGTATCGTTTTAATCCGTGTCACAAAATCAGTAACTTCTAATTGATGAATTAATTTTTGTACTAATTATGTTCCTTCTACTTTCACTTTTTTCAAGTTTCGGTGGCCTAGATATATTTTGATGAAAGTTGAGTGATTATTGACTAAACCTATCTAAAAGTGTAATAAAATGCTATCAATTTTACTTTGTTCTGGCTTTCCTGCGACTCCGTTAAAGATAAACGAAGCAACGTCGCTTTAATTAGAAGGCTAATGATACTATGCACGAGCCATAATATATGTGTTCTTATAGCCCGCCGTATCTGTAGCTTATAGTTGATTAGAATATATATAGAACATACTAAAGCTGCTGCCGGAAGGAAATTTTTAGGTAGGTTGGCCAATAATATCAGTCAACGAATACTGTTCGTGTATATTTTTTATCTCACGAAGGGAATCCCTCCCGTGGTCAGTTCGTACTGTCGCATATCGCCCGTAAGTTGAAACCGGTAAACCTATGTCAATAAGATAACACCCGAAAAATCCCGTTTTTATCTGTCACTTTTTAAAACATACAACACTGACAACAATTGCGTATGGAAAAGGTCGACGTCATTATTATCGAACTTATCCTTATTCTACTATCTGATATGTTCCTATATAAATATGTCGATAGTCACAGAGTAGAATCATATCTCAGTTATTGTTATGAAGATTGTAAAAGAGACATAAGTGAAGAGCACTTTTAAAAATACAAATTTAGAATTAGAAACAGTAAACATAAACTTCATGTTACATCTGTTTCGTCCCTCTAAGACTCGTCAGTGATATTAAGGGCGTAAATTTTCAAGCCATGAAGGCGACTATGAAAATTCAAAGCCAGACTTCCTTACGTTATACATTCGAATTATTCAACGAATAAATAAAATAACCATGTAAATATGTTCATGGATATGCTATTATAAACCCCGTATATTGTAATTTGCTAGCATTTAATAGTAACTTATATTATGGGCGGTTTGATGGCCATGTGGCGTAGTGGAAACGCACTCCGACTTTCACCAAGCCATCCGGGGTTCGATTATCTGGACGTGAAACCACGTGGTATTTCTCTGGGTAATCTAGATGCCCCCCCCAAACCACGTGGTATTTCTCTGGGTAATCTAGATGCCCCCCCCCCAAATGTTGTAAAAGAAATGAAGTTTATACATATTAGAAGATGTATCTACACGGCATCACGTGTCAGAACAGAAGATAGTCAATGGGAAATTAACCTGAAAATAAATACCTACCTACCTATGCATCTCCAAATAAATCTGGGAACTTCGGAGTTTCATCTTCAGTACTAACAAACCAAAAGAGTAGCTTATTCCAGATCGCCATACTTTCATTTTGTTTACTTAGACATGACGTTATATTTATTAAGACATGACCTCATCTATTTTTAGATATGACATTATATATTTAATTTAACATTCCACAAGAAACTATTTTTTATTAAGAAAATACTCCCACGTCCTAATTTTGTATTTAGACGTTGATATTTACGCTTAGTAAAAGTTATCTTCATATGTAAGATACCTATGACTGTACGTGTAAGTATGTTGATTGTAGTAGTGTGATGAAATCCATCATAAGATCAGACGAACACATTGGGCTGAACATCGTTACCCTACTAATCTAGATTAGAATTTGGTCCTCGGTTTGAAAAAGCAGCCCTCAAAACCACAATTAAAAACTGGAGTTGAAATGTTCGATACTCCAAGGACGAAAACGTGTAAACACTCAATGTGTGTAAAATAACTGCAATTGCTGCGCTTACCTGTTAACACACACAGCTCAACCGAAATACATGGCACTTTCTGGCATCTGCAGTGTTTCGCCATTTTATTAAAATATCTAAATGTTTTTGACTTGGGATTTCTGGTGGTAAAGATATAGAAATTTTCACCTGTAGAGAACATTCGAAAATCAAAAACCTATGATCTATTTTAAGTCCTAGGTATCCACACTTGATCTAGTGAACTTTAGTGTTACTCGGTCGGAACGAAACATGTACACCGGCGTTGTAATACGTAGCCAAATATAGATATAAATTTTTAAGTTATATGTAAATAATGTTCGTGCTTTGTAGAACCTATGTACTGTATTAAATGAATTAAGAAATGTATCACTGATTTCGAAATAGTTTCCTCTCATCTACAAAACGTATACGAGTCACACAAGTGAAACAAAGCGTGTGAAAGCTGAAATCTACATATATAATGGCGAATCCAATATTGTAGGTGTTGGTGGTTGGGTGGTAGAAAACCCCATTTTGTATACGTAGTGGTGCAATAAAGCGTAATACTGGGTAGTTTTGTGATAACAGACGCTAGTAAGTATCCTAAATGTGTTTGTACTCTTTTGTACTCTGACTTTGTAACTTTCTAATGAAATAGGACATATATATACTAATCACATATATAAAAATACAACCAGAAAAGTTTCTCGATATTCCCCTATTTAGGATATTGTATATTATATACTGCTGATTAAGATCAATTCCAAAACACAGAGAGCTATTCTCGTATATCTGAAAATAACGCAAGACGTTTCCATATCTAATAAATACGTTTATAACGTATAACTTCCTCGTCTTCAATTATATGTCTAAGTAAACTGTAAATATTTATATATATATATATATATGTTTAATGTTTGCTTTCCTATCATGAAACAAGACTTTTTTCACGGCAAGCCCTGACAATAGTTAATCAATTTCATCATCATCAACGATATCTGTTGAAATACAGTATTGGTTATGAGTTACGTTTGACAAACTCATATATTACTCACTTTGAGAGTATGAGAGGGAACGGACCTAATACCTTTTGTGGTTTGGGAATAGTATTTGTTTATCACAACGACAAAATAGATATCAGCTAAAATATAATTCCTCAACGAAAAAAAAAAACAAACAAACAAACTAAAACAAAATCCAAATCCAATCACTGTTTCTGGAGTCCGGAACTCTTTCACATTAATAAGAAAACATATTTAACGTTTAAACTTAATTTAATTCTGAAATGTGCCAGTTTAATGCATAGACATTACTTTTAGTAAGAATTTCAAATAGAAGGTGGTTCTTCCCAATTTGAATATGATGTTATACTATCCATTTGTATGATGTATTTTTACATTATGGCACTTGTTTTCGTTCATTGATTTATTCTCAGTCGCTTCCAAGGTTTAGACCATTACATCACTGACGATTGCTGGAGGGAGGAAACAGCTTTATGGTGCAATATAATTCATCCTTTAGGTCAACTTTATCTAGCTCTAATCTATAAATGCATGTCTTTTTAATAATCTTCGGTGTTAGACACTGCTGGTGGAATTTTAGTTCCCAAGGATGCTCGTGAACAGTATACTACATTTTAATTCATTCGAATAGTGGCATGGCTCAGAATATACTAATGTTCTTGCTCTATTATTATCAGAAATATAAAAATCACAAAAATTATTCAATTGTCGGGCTAATGCACCTCACCATCTAAATTTTGACATATATTTTCGGTCACTAGAGTCCAAGAAGGACGAAGCTACCGTCTGATGCAGTTTCATTCATTATTCGACTCTACTGTATCTCATTCTTCTATTAACTTATATTATAACGATATTTCCTATACATCTTTGGTTCGAAGGTCACGCGTTACTATATCCAGAAATTAAACGTTTATTTCCACATTAGAATACAGCTTCAATGCTTAAGTTGGTTTTTGTTATCCGTAATGTAAAGTGTGACAGCCACAAGATGTCTTTGATTAATCTAGAAACTAAAATAACCAGATCACTATTACAAAGACTCCTAACAACACGTTCAACATTACAGCCACTCCTAGGGCAACATTTCCGAGATAATGAAGATCCACAAAACAGGGCAACGAGTCCAAGAACATCCATGACTCCTGAGGGCAGTAAAGTGAAGTGGTGTCACGGCACCAATAAAGTGAAGTCACAGGTCACGGGACCAATAAAGTGAAGTGGTGTCCGATAAAGTGTAGTGGGTGAACTTCTTTGTTGAGAATGAAGAGTGGTGCAGTGTTGAGTGGAGATGAAGAAATCCAAACGCTGTTCAGGTTGATGTAAATTTATTGTGTGTAGACATGGAGAGGTGGTACACTCGCATGCCTTCAGGAACCGAATCGACGACTGGCTAAAAACCTAGTCGTATTTATACTAAAAGTCGTAGGCATTGATAATCTAATATTACATATTTGCTAACAAGAAGTGGATAACACATGAGTTATTTACATGGTCTAATGCACACACATAGTGGTAGATTAGGTGGTTTACGACAAGCTAAGGTTTTGCTGACCTGTCCTGCTAGACGGTATTGGTAAGCTTATGTAATTAACCCGGGAGCGAATGTATACTGGACATGTGTGATAGATTATTAACAGAAAGTATGTTCTGGCTTCTGGACAACACGTCTGACTTATGTCTAGTAGAATACAGTTTTGGATAGTTTAATTTAACTTACATATTAACTTTTAATAGTTCAGCAGGAAGTTCGATGAACGCCCACTCTTGGGAAAGCTAGCGCGGGTTGACAAGAAGTGGAACATACTAGGAACTTCACTACGTGTAAATTACATGTGTACCTGATACAACAACTGCCTTTGTAAAAGGAAATAATAAACAATATCGTGACCTCAGCATAACAAGTACTTCCTTCTTTCAAAGTAGATGTCCCAGGGATTGGTGAACTGATGAAACGTACACATCATTGCAGTGATTAAAATGAACACGATTCATACTGGATTGATTTTTCCTTTTTTCAACAGGAGTTATAAATATGTCTTTACCTGGTAAAACATGATCTAGTAGACAATGGAAATAATAAAAAACATGTTCCTTTTTATTACAGTAATTCTTACCGATAAAGAATCATATTTTTCACTCCTGACTCAATAACAAATCAACCCAGATTTTTTTTTTATCAATCACACTTGAAATTATTTTTTTAAATAAACATTTTATTGAAAAGTTACTAATAAATAAAAACCAACATGTAAAATTAAAATTGACAAGAAAGAAACATGTTACAATGCCGATATTTCCTCGTTCTAGCGTTTTTGCTTTCTCCTAGCTATAGAAAAACAATTCTAAAGATTTACATTTACATATCAATGGTCCTGCTATTTTGCCTCAAAGTCAGCCTAATCAGTTCCACGAACGTCCCTTCTGCTTCAACCCAAATCCTGTCATTACTACAGAAGAATGCTTCAGACCGAATTGGACAAGGTTCCTGGCATTCCAGCATAATTAGAAGGGTTTTATAAAATTTTAACCATTTCCCATTTCGGCTCTGCACCTCAGGCCCTTGGGGTTCAGACCTGTCGTTTATACAAAACTTGAGTCCCCTTCATCAAACCGTCCCCACAAGGATGCTTCTGACTAACTTTGATCAAAATCCACTGAATTTTTCTGACAATGGAGGGATAAAAATGTAAAGATGTTATTTGATTTACATAGATACTGGTATTTACAAATATCATACAGTGTACTTTAAAAAAGTAACCAATATTCCTTCAATTCAGAATTATCAACTCATAAACTAAAACTCAGAGATGAAAATTGAAAGTCTTAACAAAGACTGGATATTATCATTTTTTTCTGTGCAGGAATAAATTTTGAATTATCTATTAGCCAGTCAGCTAAACATTTTCGTCCTTAAAAATTGCATAATTAGATACATTGAGGTCGAAGAAAGAGTCATATATAATTAAAATTAGATAAATATCTATACAAATATATGCAAATAATATGTTAGATTACCTCTCTTCATAATGGTGTTCTTCACAACACAAAACTGTGTATATTAATGTCTTCTGTTTACAAATACTTACAAAATATCAAACTAATAAATAGGTATTGAAGAACTGAATTAAGAATCATAGGCTACATGGTAAAGCGTAATAGCAAGCTCTACAAAACATTAAATGTACCAGGTAATTTTTTTTTTCATTTTTATCAATAAATAAACAAACAAATACTTGGGAAAAATTTTTATCTTTGCTCATCTGTTCAGAACTTCTCATATTATCTGAAACAATTAACAAGGAAATATGAAAAATTAAGGAACCTGAAAGCATCTTGGTAAGTCAAAAATGAAAATTAATACCTGCCAGGTTGAATTAGTCTTATAAAATAGCTGTCCGTCTGAAATATACATACAGAATTATCAAATGTTTTTAATTCTGAATATTTCTCTAATAACTCAACAGTCCATGATCATATTAGGTATCAAATATCTTTATAATAAACCTTTGTATTGGATCATACCAAATTTGAAATGGGTCAAACATCAGAAGATGCTCTCTTTATCAAACAAAATGTAACACCTAAATTCAACAACCCCCACCCTGAACACAAAACATGGTCTGTGTGATGTGTAAACATCCGGTAAGTTCAATTCAGCAGGTAATAAGCTTTTTGGACAGAAACAGTACATTAGTGTCTACTGAGAGTGTGAACCCATTTTATTCTTGTTCCTTCTACATCATCAGATATATACCTAACTACTGATGGCCACCTGTCAGCCATTCAGGTTTTCTGACCAGTCCCAGGATCAAAAGGGCATGCGTAGGGGACAAGATAAAAACTAAATAGAGAATGATCCATACAGTACTTATCAAGAAATAACAATAACAAGAATTGTTTAAAGACAAAGGTCAGACCACTGAGGAAAGGCAATTTGACCATTTGATGATACTGGACTAAAAATAAACTTAATAGATATAATCAGGGTCATACAAAAACAAAATAAACTGTTTTAAAATATCTCACCAAAACAGAGGTTTGGTAGATAATCATCCTTGATTTTAAATCCTCATACAATATTATAATATATTAACCAATTATTTTAATATCTTTAGGGCCAAGACCCACAATTGTAGAAAATCACTTCTCCCTTTACCCAGGAATGCTTCAGACCAACTTTGGTGAAAATCAAATCATCCCTACAGGAGTAGGACTTTTGAAAAATTCCTCTACTTCACCTTCATCAAAGAATACTTCTGACCAAATTGTGACAGAATCTTAGTAGTATCTCTAAATAAGAAGGATTTTAAAGAATTTGCTCAATTTCCTCTATTGGACACCATCACTCCCATCCCAGGGGGCCAAGGCCCATCATTTAAACAAAATCAATTTCCCTTCTACAAGGGATGCTTCATATCAAATTTGGACGATCTGGACAAAATTCAATTATGCCTACAGGAGTGGTTATTTCTTTAAACAAGACCCACTTTTTAAACAAAATTGATTTCCCTCCAACCAAGGATACTTATGACCAAACTCGGACAGAATGCAATTATTCCTACAGGAGGAGTCAGTTTTTAAAGTTTGCCGACACTCACTATTTGTAAGAGTCTGTTTACCTTCCTCCAGGATGCTTCTGGCCAAATTTGCACATTTATGACTAGTAGCGATTTGTAAGAAAAGTTGACTGAAGGTGGATGCTGCGGCAAAGCATAAGCACACCAATCCTTTAGAATAGATAAGCTAAATATTGTACTGAGCTTGATGTGCCCTAGGATATTTGTACCTTAAGAAGCTATATGTTTCAACAAGAGGCCCAGAGAGCCTGTATCGCTCACCTGGATCTTTATGACCAACAGTACTATATCTGTGCATATGTTCCATGTTTAACACATTTGACCCCTGTGACCTTGAAAATTGGTCAAGGTCATTTCTTTTAGCAAACTTTGTAGGACACCATAAGAGGAACATAGTAGCCTGATATAATGATTCTATGCCTTCATGTATTTGGGGAGAAGTCGTTTAAAGGTTTTACCATACTTGACCTCTGTGACCTCGAATATGGTCCAGGTTATTTTTGCGCAAACTTTGTTGGGCTTCATCAAAGGAACTTCCAGCCATATATAATGATTCTAGGCCTTCCGGTATTTTGGAAGAAGACACTTAAGGTTTTTTTTAACACATTTGACCTCTGTGACCTTGAATATGGGTAAAGGGTTTTTTTCACAAACTTTGTTGGGCTTCATCAAAGGAACCTTCTAGCCAAATGTGATAACTCTACACCTTTCAGAAGAAGTTGTTTAACTGAAAAGTTGACGGACGCAGGACAGACAGACGACGAACATACAACGGATGACGTGCTATGGCATAACCTCACTTTGCCCTTTGGGCCAGGTGTGCTAATAAAGCAATAATAATGTTAATGCCCTTGGCATGCTCTCACCTGAAATTACTAGGCCTATCAGTTCCTGAGTAGAAGTTGTTTTCAGGTTTTAACAAATTTGAACCCTTTGACCTTGAATATAAGTCACAGTCATTTCTGTTTGCAAACTGCATCAGGTTTCATCCTAGGAATATACCAGCTAAATATCAAACCATTTGGTCCTTCATTTATTGACAAGAAGTTTTTTAAAGGAAAAAGTGATGCTGGATGGACAACGGAAGGACGACGGACACTTCACCAAAAGGGCCAAGTGAGCTAAAAAATGATAGAGAAAATGTAAAGGATCATATGTCAATCTTTTTTCCCTCCAATATTTTTACCCTTAATTTACAGTAAGATATTCAGTAAACATTGCATACAAAATAAAACCTTATTAGATCAGGACACAACAGGTACATCTATCATAGATCGGGAAATACTGATACATAGATGCGACTGGTGTTTAACACTAGGTGTCATATATCTTTGACAACCCCATGCAGCAACCGGCTTAAATGTACCATTCCTCATATATCACCTACATTATATCAAGTAGCAGGTACACCTGTCAGCAGACGGTGTGTTCCCTTTACGCCAACTTTCTTAAAAACACATATGGCAGTTGGTGTTGTTTTTACCATTTAAGTCAACAAAATTGGGGTACCTCATGGGGGCTCTGGGGAACAGTTACTGTGGAGTAGTTACCTGTGACTTGATAATATTTAGCCATAAATGGGGATATTTTCAGATTTTGAATTGAGAATTAAATGGAAATGTTAGGAAAAAAGAAGATTTTTTTGAATCACCAACAGGTAATATACAAAGTCATTATATTATATGGAAAATGATGATATACAGCAAAACAATATTTAACATTACATGAAATTACATTTACATACATAAAAATTTCAAAGGCAATCTTAATAGTCATTATCTTTTTATCTGATGGCGATTCCCTACCTTAGCTCAATTACATTTTTAGAAATACATAATCTATGAGAGTACTGTAACATTCTGTAAACTGGTCAATGTTTTGATCCACTTACTAACACATCGGAGTCCATATACTAAACCTTCAAAAGTACATTCTGTTATCATCAAGTGCAGCTGGTACTATTTACATTGACAAATATATTTTGACAAGTAACCTGCTCGGAGTCACAACCACTCAAGTTGTGTTCTATGACATGGAGTATACAAATAATTTGTAACTCTGACATATATACAAACAGTCTATATTTCAAGTGTGAAGAGACCAGAGTAAAGATAATTGGACCTATAAAATATGGCAGACAAACCATGATAAGATGAAGATGGTTAAATAGATAGTTTGGTCATTTTTGAAAACTTTTCACTTTTTGGTTGTTATGCAGTTTTAACTTTTAAAATCAGATGTCCAAGTATCATACCATGTATTACCTTTAATGAAAGAAGAAAAATAAATTCTTTTGAAAATGGTTGCCATGAAAATAAAAAAATATGTCCATTATCCAGTAAAAATAAAGAACAATATGAAAACGGATTATTTCCTGTTACATATTCCGACATCTGTATCGAAAAAAAAAGCAGTGCAGCAACATACTGATGTTTTGGTTACAATATTCCTTCTAAACACTAACCTTTCAAAAAATCCAACACCGAAAAGAAAGGTTAGTACTCAATTTTTTTTTTACTTGTCACAGGAGTACATCCTTAAATCATACATAACATTTAAATCTTAAAAGGAGGACATCTAGTAAGGGATCCGACTCTGAAAACAAGCTGAAATAATAGACAGGTCTCAGTAGCTTGTTTTACCCCAACCCTAATGTACACTCATCATTTATATGGTGGTGATCAAAAGTAGGGTGTTAGATGGTATTTCCTGTTCTGTAGCTTTGGTAGTTCATATCCTGCCCAATACAGTGTGACCATCACAACCCACATGTCCTCCTAATACATACACATTTTTGTTTTGTAATAACCAGCCTTGTTACAGCATATGTCTGTTGCTGCAATAGAGAAAAGAAATTCAAATACATATTAATTTCTGTCAATAATGAACACTGAGCATAGTTTTGTGTGAAATGGTAAGTTTCACAATAAAATGTATCAGTTCTTAATGACAGTGAATGCATGCAAGACAAAGAAGTGTTTATTATACTAAGTCCATATAAAGGCAATATTTATATTTAGATATGAAATGGGTCCCACAGGAAAACGGTGACCCCACGTCGCTTATATCAAAGTCAAAAAAACATCTGACATATCCCAAATGCAACACTCAGAATACTGTAGTATGATTGCAACTGTTTTTTCTGTGTTTAATGCTTTTCTTTCTTGAATATGTATCTGGAAAAAACATACCTACAATAATATATGTTTAACAAATTTCATGCTTGAACTTGAGGTCTCGGACACTAATGATTATTTTGTTGATATCATACCTTCCTCTACAATGATGTGATCACAGCTTTCCATTTTTTGCCAAGGTTAAGGGACATTTATCACCAAACCACTGGTCATGTTCTTTCTGTGGAATGTCATCAGGCTCCCAGCCTTCCAACTGCCCACCACAACAGTAGCATTCACAAACATCTTTCACACCTTCAAGATACAAAATATAATAATTAAACAAAGAGATCAGGCAGTAGAGCCAACACTGTTCGTTCTAATTGAGTGGGTAGGTGGTTTCTACACTCCTCAGCCGGATACCCGATGATATGCACGGTGATTGATCAATAGACCAAATCAAGTTGCCGAAACCGGTAGACGAACAACATTATAAAGACTGAAGAACCATACACTCTGAGGCCATTGTGATTGATATATTTAACTTAATAATTAAACAAGATGCATCGTCTTCATGTACAATCCTGTCTTAAAGGTCATCAAATCCACTTGTCTATAACAGCTACTAAATTGAGTCCTAATGTAGTAAAACTACACTTTTAAGTAATTTAACTGCCATATAAGGGTCACCTGTGTATAAAGGTCATATTTCTTTCCTCTCCTTAATGGCCTTTATACAGATCAAAACAAGGTTAAAACAATCAATTTTCTGTAATATGTTTCATCTGTTATAAATGCATTGGAATACATTAGTTATTAATTCTGTCATATGATTTGCTGATAGTACATTTGTTTTCTAAAAAATATATGTCAAATCACAAATTTCAACATATCAGATGCTTTATAGAAAAAAAAGTACTTCACATAAAGTTTAATATTTGGTGTTAGGCCTATGTATACCACTGAACAGAAAGAATCAATATGACTCCTCACTGATAACATAAACTTTCAGTATTGGCCATTTGATCTGTTGTAAATGTAGCTAAAGAAGGCAATGGTAAGGATTATTTTGCTATGTCTTGGCTACATAAATTACATGCCGCATCTAGAAGTACAAAGTTTGTAATGCTATCTAATGTCACTGATTCTTACACCTTTTGCAGATAAACATATTTTCCGTTTAAGGTTTTATTTATTGATATTTTTAACGTAATGGTTAAAGAATTTGATTATTTCCTACAGAACATGCACAAATTTCTCATTCAGATAATTATAAAAATTCTGTCATACTCATGCAATAGATATGATGATTCAATGGAAAACTATAAACGATCTTCTTTGTCATTTACAAATACTGGAAAGTAAATGATGGTTAATGATTATCAGGATATAGCAAGGTATCAAATTTCTGGTAATCATCTAATTAATTTAGTTCCTAAATATATACTATTTTTACAACATCTTTTGCTATAAATGCATTCCATTGAGCAATTACTTAATAGTATTAAAGTTAAGATTAATTTTTTCCTTTAAATTTAAGGCAAACAATCATTTTATTTAATAAAGTATATACACCAGAATAAAAAATCTAAATTAAAGGACTTTGATAATTATGTTGTAGAGCAGCAAAGTTTTAAAATTATTGTGTCTTCAATAGTAGAAGCCTTCTAAAATCGACATTTTATAATATGCATGTAGTTGCATTACCGTCTCTATGATCGAAGGGAGATAACTAAAAACAAGAACTCAGTGTAGATAAGGAAATGATCGTCTTCTAGGTTCTAGAAGGATACCAAATGGTATGCAGGGTGCTATTAAAAAGTAAATTAATATCAAGGTAAAAGAAAGGACATTAAACCTTATTTTTGCCTTACATGTGCCTCCTAATAAGTCTGAGGTAAAAATTCTTAACAATTCAATGAATTATATAAATGAGATCAAAAGCGTTATTTCATTATTTAAGGAACATTTGTCAGTTTTAGTCAGTTTTACCTGCGTAAAATAGTCCTGCCCCTGCAAGAGCATGAGGAGTTTGTTTTGAATCCTTAGGCCACCTTTTAAAAGTTTTCAGTCGATCTATAAACAATGCATAATAGATATGACGGGGATATTTTTCTTCTCCTATTGTGTAAAAAGGATTGGATGAGTTTCTGTCTCTTCCATCTAAATATTGGTTAGTTTCACCATCCACTTCAAGATCTTTGATTGGTACACTCTGATATCCTTCATCTATTGAATCATTAGATGCTGCTCCGTCCGCCAATGTCATGGCATGAATCCCGTTAACAATACCATGGTTAAACAGTGATTCAAAATTAGGTTCACGCCACTTGAACCTTTCACATGTTGGGAAATGTCTGTAGTGATTTATATGAACATTGTCTCCCTCTTCTATACCAACAAGCACACCACCACAATACACACATTGTACTTTCCGTTTTTCCTCATCAATACTGAAAAAACCTTCGTCAATGAGTTCCTTCTTGAGAGATTCACCGATACTAGGCCATTTATAGAAACTCTTGTTGCGTAGCTCTGGGTCTCTTAGATGTTTATATCTTTCTCTTGGAGGTGGGGGAGCATAATCCATGGTCACAAGGATAAGGAATTCCTCCCCATCCTGGAAATTCTCTTGTCAGTACAATCTGTAACAGAGAGAGTGTTATTTAACTGACAAATTATTTAGCAGCAAAAGGAAAGCAAATTTCTATTTCCACCTGAACTAACAGTGTGTAAGTTGAGACATTAGAACACATTTTGAGTCAATAAGGAAAGCTTTATACAAACAGGAATCTCTTTCTATTACTATATGAGTATATACAGTCTAATCTGCTAATGTGTATTAAATTTCCTAGCAGTCTTATTCTTTAAGCAGTTCCATACCTTAGCAAAAGTGACCATGACCAAGACAAATAACAGATCCCAAAGGGATTTTAACAACCACTTTTCCTGTCTTTTTCATCCTTTCCTCCATTTTTGCTCATCATGTTACTGTATTTGAAAATTCTTCCTACAGAAACATTGACAATAAAACAATTAAATAAGTATTTATATAATACTCCTAATTTCTATGTTAATGACCATATCCACTAAACAACTACTGATCTGAGTACATCTTCACTACATTAGATGATCTGACCACACTGGGACATTGTACAATGATATTTCGCTTACAAGATGGTCGCCTGTCGACCATTTGGGTTTTTATTAAACGGGTACATTAGTACAACTAGGGGCCAAAAACAGCAACACAAATACAAGGTTTGAGAAAAATTGATCAAGTACCACTCTAGAAATAGCAATAATAAACTTTCATAGTCAAAATCCAAGATGGTCGCCTGTCAGTCACTTCCTTTTTTCTCATCAGTTCCAAAATCAAATGCGCACAAAGAGGGACCAGAGGAAAACTACAAATGAATTTAGAGAATATCAATCCAGTGCTTCTCAAGAAAAACAAGGTCTGAATCCAAGATGACCATCTGTAAGCCATTTTGTGTCTCTGATCTGTCCTGAAATGAAAAGGGCACAACAATAGGGGCAGAGGGGAACTTATGTATGAATTTGTATATGATCCATCCAGCACCTCTCTGAAAGTGGTGATAACAAACTTTTACAGTCAAAATCCAAGAAAGCTACCAGTCAGCCATATTTTTTCCTAATTAGCCTCAAAACCAAACTGGCACAACTTATAGGGACAAAGGGGGAACCTACATGTGAAATTTGAGAAAGATTCATGGAGTACTTCTCAGCATCAAATGGGCACAACCAAGCACTTTTTACATGAGTGGTCATAACACATTGTGTTACATGTGTATTGTACTTATAACTGAGTAGTTAGGTTTTATTATATGATTATCAATTACCAGATTGAAGTGGTTTGGTTTAACAATTTGTGTAAAATAAAATACACATATTTTCAATTTTTGTGTTGGCAAATGTAGCATATCAGATAAATATCTCAGTCTTTGAAAGAGATAACACCATTTTTCTGGTCATTTTTTTTTTAAAAAGGCACTTAATGATTTACTGGGTTTTTTTATGTGTCTGAGCTCAGATTATGTCTACCCTCTCTAATGCATCCTTGCGAATCCAAATATGTATAAAACAGCTGGAATGGGATAATGATTTAGAGAAAATGTAAGTACCATATACAATCATAATAGGCCTACTTCAGGGACGTATCATAGAATCATATTTAGGAATATTTCCACAGCCAACCAGTTTTGATCACGCTCACCTGTCTACCCTTCTCAGCTCCGCTGGAAAAATCTCTGCCAGTGGTTAGTGAAATATTTCATTTGTTGTCACTGAAAAGACAATCACTTGTGAAGCAAAATTTTAACTAACAATATACTTATTTCTTGTCTGGACACACTCACAGCTATGAAATTATACAGGATCTGCTATTTTGGTTTTATTTATATTTGAAAAAAATCACTCAGCACTTGTTAACTAGAGAAGTGACTGATGAACAATTGTGCCAAATGCAAAGTAAGAAGGGGCGTAACTCTGGTACCTCTGGATGTATTAAACAACACATTTGGGTCTCGATAACAATGATCGCCAATACTAAAGCAATATGACTGTCGTGCTGAGTACATTTAAGCGTAAGCTTCAAACTATATTTTACCAGAAAATGTTTCTTATTTTACATATAAAATATCATAACTATTCTTATTACGATGGAATGTAGGGTATTCCCCTTTGGATTCCCGTCAACTCCTTCGTTATGTAGTGCACTTAGCAGCGACGAAGAAACATTGGGAAAAATCCAAAGCATGGGTTAATAATTGAAATTTGTATACGACAAAATTATGTCTAAGGATTGATTTTCATTGTTATGCAATTGTTGATGACAAACAAGACGAAACTGCAAGTACAAAACTGAAACTCCATCATTACGCCACAGAAAACTATAATATTTTGTACATGTGAGACGTCATTATCATGTTATTGGACTGGAACATCAAAAGAAACGTTGCCATACCCTATAGAAGATCAGTGTAATTCGGAATGGGATAAAAAAAAGGTTCTGTGGTCCCCATCAATCTGTCCATCACTCTGTCCATCACTTGAAAAACAATAACGACATGTCCATCACTTGAAAAACAATAACGACACATCCGTAGTATAACAAATTACAGCCCAGCACGCCCGGAGAAACCGACACAGTCCGGGTTTCATTTGCACCTAAGCCAAGTTAAGATTGACTTATATATTGTGTTATATGCAAAGATATTAACAACAAAATTAACAGAAATTTTCGACTTATGGGTATTAGAAATCAGTGATGTCGCAAGAATTCTACATAAATCTTGTTTTTTACAATAGCAGGACTGTCCGAACTTTTATATCGATTCACGTATTGTTAAATTTGCCTTATATATGAATAAATTTATTATCTTTATCCAGAAATAATGAAAAAAATATTTCAAAAATGACAAAATCATTACTATTTGAAATAATCGATATCGCAATAATGCGTTCGCATCCTGTTATTTGCATTGTTGAAATGTATGAAAAACTATTTGGTGCTAGAGCTGTTATGTATTTACTATTTTTGTTATTTCCGGAATTTGGGACACGTCTTCCGGCTTTGTAATTGGTCCCGCCCAAATTGTAACTCTCTAGTATGAAACCAATAAACGGTCTCATGCGTTGAAGGGGTGTCGGGAATTTTCGTACCAAAGAATTTTCGTCCGAGGGGAATGTTCGTAGCACTCTGGATATAGATAGACAGAGTGTAAATAACCAATTATAACACCCTCCGCTGTGTTGATAATGAAAATTTGATGTTTTAGAAGTTTACACAATGATTTTTACCCAAGTACTGGTACGCGTCTGTTGTTGGCCGACAGGCGTGTCGCCTCACACGTCCCCATTGTTTTTTTCAAGCCACAGAGGCGCTACTTACCTAGCCTGGCACAGGTGTGATTATGAGTTTAGATGACATCTCTATACTGTGAACTGTGCTTACAAATCAAGACTGGTGATCTTATTGTTATTTTTACAATCGTAAAATTCTAATTATCATTTCGGCTGTCTCGCAAATAATAGTAGTACGAAAATACCCGGGACGAAAATTCTTCGGTACGAAAATTCACGGGATAGGACCCGTTGAAGGCATGGCCGGCTTCAGGTTTTCTGACAGACACAACAAGAGTGTTCTAAAATTACTATGCTAAAATGATCGCCGCTACAGACGGTTCCATCCCACTGAGTGGGATGCAAGTCGCCCCCTCACGTCGCCAGAGCACAGAAGTTCGTCGACGAGACGATACCCGGACAAGGGAGGAGACGAAAAACCTGGCGACCAACCAAGAGTAAATCATTGTGAAAATGAAATCAGTACTTGTTTTAGGACAGCTTCGTCAGAAGATTGTCAGAATAGAGACAGGAAAATAACACCGTCCCATTTCTAGGACTGCATGCATACGGAATTAGGGGTAGGGAGATAAAGAACATGCGAGCTAAGTTCTGCCTCTTTATTAGAAAACTTCCGTCAGACGTGGACTTTCTCCTGGATAGATCGAATGGCATCTCTCTTTCTAGAACAGCCGCGAGTATAGTCACACAACTGATTGAACTAATAGTCTACTTTCGGCAGTTAGGAGTTCAACCAGTGGTTGTTGGGTCCCTTTTTCCAAGACTAAAGCCCAGATACAAATATGGCGATTATGTACAACAACAAGAAGAAGGTCAACTTCATATGGAAACAGTACACTTGCCAAGGTGATTTCCATTTTTGAATCACAAGTTGATGAAGAGCAGCCTTTTCCGGGAAAACGGGGTTCATGGTAAAGTTCGAACCAGGAAGTTTTTCTTCAGTGTCGTGTTTGCAGTTCAACGATGCTAAACAAAAAGGCATTTTTTAGAGCAACCAATCCTCCAAATGGAGTCCCGTTGACGCTCGAGTTATACACTCTCTTATCCTTATCTCAATAGAAATTAAAATTAATTTATGATTCAATACACAACACAAGAACACCTTTAAGTTACTGATATGTGACTTTTATGGCCATTACTTGATTAATATATACTCCAGTTGTAATATATATAAATCTATGTGATAAGTTAAATAGATACGGGAATGGACATAAGGATGGGTGACCCAGATTGTAAATAACCCGACCGTACCGTTGTTTTATTAGTGGTTTTAAATAGTAATAATTCTGTCATTTTTCTATCTTCATATTAGTATTTTCAGAGACATATAACACCAGACACGTATAATACATACATATATACTGTATTATACGTCCCTGATAACACGTGTGATATAAACGTCTCTGGTATTTTGTTGCCATTTCACGATTATTTTGTTCGTGTTGTTAATATAAAGTATGTGATAGAGTTTAAAATGGATACAAGCATAGAAAGAAAGTCAATAACACAATCCAATCTCTTTATTGCGATCATTCTAATTTTAAATGCACGTGATTCATGTATTTTGTATCTTATGTTATCTTTTCATGATATATCAGTGGTTATTTTTGATGAATGTGATACAGTTCAATAACAAATTTTCTCGCTGTTTCTGAATTATCATATTTATTTTAATAGAAATAAAAGCCCGGGAGGACATTTTTAAAAATATTTTTTGCATTATTTCTTGATTATGATACTCATTTTATTCACATGCATGTAGATAATACAAATTTATCGATACGTGAATAGAAATAAAACTCGTGCGCAGCTGATTTCGCAAAGAACACGAACCGAGCTCATTGTTGCAATATCACGATTTTTTCTGTGTTGAAATGTTGGTTTTGTCAATATTTTTGCATGTGTGACAGTTTAACGCTTAATATAAAAAAATAAAAGTCCGGACGGTCAATGTATAATTCCCGAGCGGTGGCGGACTGTGCCGGGTGGTACCGGGGAATTCCGGACTGTAGTTAATATCACCCAACTCTTTGGGGTTACTTTCGTTTATCCGATCGCATCGACACGCAGGTGGCACGGTTTCGTTCAGTATAAAAGAGCAGAGTCAAACCGCAACGGAAACGAACCAGATCGATCGTTTATAGGTTCCACCGGTTTGTACGTTACAACTGCATAAACGAAAGGGCCCTTGTACGAGAGAGCTCGAAGCGGCTTGGTAATCAAGGAGCAATTAAAAGCGGTATCGGAGTTTATCAGAAGACGTTAGTAAGAGACAAAAAGCGTCGTAATCTTAGTAAATCATTTTTTTTAAATAATTTCATTCAATCTATATAAGCCTTTATGTCTTTTGTTTAATCCATAAAAATCTTTCCCCACTGTGGCTTGTCATAACTAGTATTATGTACATGGCAGTGACTGAAATATGTTTTGATCCGGAGACCACGGACGAACGCATGTGCAATAAGATTACTCCAGTTCACAACGGAGTTAGGCCTTCATCTATATATCTACATGCAATAACAAGAGACCCATGAGTCTCAATGATCACCTGACTAATTTCAATCAAAGTTTGAAATGCAAAGAGTTATAAACTCCGTAAATTACATCAAATCTGATTCAGTTTTTGAGTCGGTGAAGGTCAAATTCAGAATCTTTACTACACGGATACATTTCTGTGAGTTCACGGAATCCGAATGCGCATGAATTCTATCCTTTTCGATAATGTTCTTCTGTACAGCTAAAACCTTCAAGTTTTAAATGTACACAAACAGATCCCATTGTTGAACTAATTCGGCTCATTCCCCGAACACCAACTCTGCCAACTTGAAAGGAGGGTGTTTATAAAGGGAATCCTTTGATGTTAAAGTTATAGTCTGTTTCAACTAAGAATGTCAACTTGTCCTTGTAAATAGGATACGTACATATCAATAAGGAAATAGGTAAAGTTTTTTTTGTTTTACATATATAAATGTATGTTGCAACATTATCCACATCTTAGCATTAAATAAATTATTATCTAATATAAATAGTAAACCCCTAAATGACTGAATTAGCACTATGTATGACAATACATTATCCATTTATCTAGATATTATGTCCTTTTACAACCTGTGATAATCAAGTAATCCATAAGTCCAGAAAACACTAAACACTCTATCCAAGATGCAGAAGCTCGGATGCTGAATCGGCATAGGTCATCAGGTCGATTGTCCCAGTCTGGTAACGGTCCTTCAAGGTGGCCAGGCATCTGTCAATGTTGGCGTATTTCTTCTTCCGGGGTTGAATGGTGCCTCCTGCGTCTCTCTGAATCCGGCTGATGTCGTTCATGTTCTGTATGTCCTTAAACGTCTGGATGATGGTGTAGATGTTGGGGTGGGCATGCAGTACCTTCTTCAGTTTTCCGTGCCAAGCTTCCAGATGGTTGGTAGTCCGGGGTCCCTCGGTTGAGAAGTGGTTCAAGGTGGTACGATCTCCCTCTATCCATTGTGTGCAGCTACTTCAAAATCGACGAAGGCTGTAGTGGGTCGGAATGGAATGTCGAAGTGTGCCATGTGATCCTGGAGAAGGGTGAAGAAACGGCTGTAGATTGCCTGGCTCTTTCCGGGAAGTAATGCGTATACGACTGGTGTCATGGTGCCTTCATTCTGTACATGGACGCTGAAAATCTGATGAAACATTGTTGGACAGTTGTAGAAAGTTCCGTCACAGAAGAAGGTGTCAGATGCTGCAAGTTCGGCCAGGTTCTCCGACGAAGCGAATGCGATCATCCTGTTGTTCTGTTCACCGTCGTCAAAGAGGAGAAATGGTTCGCCTGTAGATGCTTCTATCCATCTTCCATCCAAGGTGATGTCGGCCAAAGTCTTTGGTAGTGGAGGAGTCTGCTTGCGGCGAGCACGGTAAAGAGACGGTTTCGCTGTGTAGAATGTTGGTAGTCGCTGGACCACGGTCATCCCAGTCGAGTTGATTGAGCTCTTCCTAAAAGATGGACGGAATAGGCTGGACCGATTATACGCATTTGTTGGTGATCTGGTTCATGATCTGTTTGGCTACAACACTGGCTGGGTCTGAGGCGTGGGTGTGTGGATTTCTTCCGAAGTTAGCTGGTATGTTGTCGATTGTCGAGAGTGATGCTGAGCAGTCTGAGGTCGAACATCTCCAGAATGTCCTGCTGCCGTTCTTTCGAATCTGTCTGAAGATGAATCCATTATGTGAAAGGTTCTGTCCGCCTCTTCTGTTGGTGATGAACTTAACGTTGATCTGAGCATTAGCCATACTGTCCTTGTATCAAACAACAAAGATAATAATATCACTCAAATTAAACACAATTTACATAAAAACTGAGAGAAAATACAAGATTAACTAATTTACACAAAAACTGAGAGAAAATACAAGATTAACTAATATATGACAAAAGTTACAATTTACACAAAAACTGATAGAAAATATAAGATTAACTAATATTTGACAAAAGTTACAATTTACACAAAAACTGAGAGAAAATACAAGATTAACTAATATATATATATGACAAAAGTTATGATTTGACAATATATATCTGTGACAAAAGTATAGTAATAAATCAAGCAATGATTGAGATATTGATCTTTCAAAGTGCAGATTGAAATATGATAATTTCCCAAAATGAACTTGGCTTTTATACATTTCCCATTGAATAGCTTGGGATTTAAACAGATTTAACACAGATATTTGATTCCTTTATTTTACAGTTATTAACAGTTTTCAGTTTTCTGAACATTTATCAGAATCAGAACTTAATCATCTGATTTACCTATTTTCTGAACAGTTATCAGAATTTACCTGTGCAAGTTACCTGTGCTACAATTCTAAAACAGCCTATCATCCACTATCATCACAGTTGACCTCCTATGTAAACATGTTGTCATATACAGAGTTGGTGTTCGGGGAAGAAGACCCCACTAATTCGAGGTCTTAATGGTAGAAGGCTACATACAGGCCGGTCCAACGTGTTTGGTATGATGAGCATGTAATTTAATTTTTAATGAATATCACGTGTCGGTGAAAAAAAGTTTGCTATTTCAATTCATGGCAGACTATTTTTTACTGTCAAATTGATATAACAAACACCACTTATTATCATCGTGTCACACACACACACACACACACACACACACACAGATAGAAAATTAATCAGGGATATAATTGTTTGTCATGTTAAGTGATTAATTTTATCTGTATATATTGGTATGTACTCTTTGTTCAATTATTTGCACAAGCACATTGTTTATGGCGTAGATGCGATATAGCAACCATTCATATATTTGGTGCCAATTAAATCAGCTACGAAAATTGCACAAAAGACACTTATCAAATGAATAGCATTTCAGCTGATACAAATTTAGAATTTGATACAGTAGAACAAACTAAATAACTAAACTGCATCACACAGTTCTTGCCTCCTTCCAGGGTTCGACAATGATGCCAAGGACCAAAAGTTTAAAACCCAGGAGACACTGATGAAAATCCAAAATGATCGAAAGAAAAGTCAACATCTAGATGTGGAGTTGCTCGAGCTCGATGATTTACTAAAATTTTTATATATTATGATCTGATCATTCCAGACGAGCGTCAGATACATGTGAATTTTCTGAACCGTGCCGCTGGTTTTTCTAGTCTATATCACATTTGTCTGGAAAGCTTGACTGTGTTCAGAATAGTTTTACAACAACAATTAAATACACGTCGATATTTACATAAATTATTTTTAAGGCATCTAATTTATCATTGTTATCAGTCTCCGCAATAAAATTCACATAAACATATTCATTTTTACTAAAATTATCGTTTCCACAAGAAAAAAAAGTAACATAAGAACGATTACAGGATCGCCGTGATCTTGCGATCTAAAAATACCAAGCCGACGGCTACAAACAGGGACGTACGGTACGGTCTCATTAGTCGTGTTCGTAATGCGCTCAAAACGTTCGTCAACATTTTAAATGTAGCACTTTTGGACCTGTCGAATTGAAATATTAACACGATGCTGTGTCGCAGCTCATCAGAAAGCGCAATAATACCAGTAGGACAACAAGTATTTTATAAACTAACAACTCTAGTCCAACTGGATCAACGAAAATGGCCCTTAAAGTGCCAGGTTTTTTTTCGAATTCATTCATATATGGAATTTGAATTTCGATATACTGTACATGGTGTATCAATGCCAGTTATTTTAGCTTGGTGGCCTGTATATCTGTTGAAACCAAGAAGTCTTACTCTGATGGAACCGATGCTACGCCAGATCAAAGGAAATTTGACTAACGTCTTAGGGTAAGAACAACCATTAAGAATTCGTTTGAACGCATGAAAGGGCACTAGAGATGCTCACAGAGTAGACTCGATTTGTAGTTATTGATTATCATGTTCTGTATAACGTGTGGTGAATACTCGACAGATCGGCAGTGGACAGATCTGTGAGGAAGGAGGTATATTTGGTGAATACTCGACAGAGCGGCACTGGACAGATCTGTGAGGAAGGAGGTATATTTGGTGAATACTCGACAGATCGGCAGTGGACAGATCTGTGAGGAAGGAGGTATATTTGGTGAATACTCGACAGAGCGGCAGTGGACAGATCTGTGAGGAAGGAGGTATATTTGGTGAATACTCGACAGATCGGCAGTGGACAGATCTGTGAGGAAGGAGGTATATTTGGTGAATACTCGACAGATCGGCACTGGACAGATCTGTGAGGAAGGAGGTATATTTGGTGAATACTCGACAGATCGGCACTGGACAGATCTGTGAGGAAGGAGGTATATTTGGTGAATACTCGACAGATCGGCACTGGACAGATCTGTGAGGAAGGAGGTATATTTGGTGAATACTCGACAGATCGGCAGTGGACAGATCTGTGAGGAAGGAGGTATACTTAGTGAATACTCGACAGATCGGCACTGGACAGATCTGTGAGGATGGAGGTATATTTGGTGAATACTCGACAGATCGGCACTGGACAGATCTGTGAGGATGGAGGTATATTTGGTGAATACTCGACAGATCGGCACTGGACAGATCTGTGAGGAAGGAGGTATATTTGGTGAATACTCGACAGATCGGCATTGGACAGATCTGTGAGGAAGTTTCATAGACTACGTAATGTGACACTTAGTGTGACGCAACTATTAAGAAAATCAGTCAGGAATCCCAGAGACATGAGTGACGCAAATGAATGGCACATTGACCAGGTTTCGATTTGCTGCAAGGTCTCTAACCTCTATTTTTTTCCTGCTCGCATTTTGTTTATAAGAACGCACGTTAATTAAATATGCAATTGTTGCCCTTTTCCCCAAATTGTTCATGATATTACCAGAACGAGGTTGATCGTCGAGTAGTAAATGCTTGACGAGACTTTGATCACCTACTTTATTGTTAATTGTTGCTAACGTCCTATTAACAGCCAGGGTAATTTAAGAACGTGCCGGGTTTGAGTGGTAGGAGAACGCCTTAGTTCCAGGAGAAAAACCACCGACCTGTGGCAAGTACATTGTACCCAGCGATTGCTCAACTTTGGCCGCGAACGCCTACACAGAGCTTGGGATGTGATATTGACTATCTTTTCACCTTTACTCGATCTCATTTATCTTTCTAATACTTTATACCGTAGACAGAGATATAACATGGATATGTTACAACTTACCTTTCATTGTGTGTTACATTGGACACAGTGAGATAAGATATTACAAGGAACAAACACTGATTAGTCAGTTTGACATTGCCGTTTACAGAAGGAGTTTTGTCATTCACCTGAAGACTACAACTGTCTACAGTGTACCTGTCGATTCTATCATTTGGGGAAGTCACTATCCCCTGTCGCCGACTTTTAAACACAAAGAATATATCACAAATTCGATGAAACGGTAGTATAATATTAACAAACGATTTATAGGAAAACACACGTGACAATTAAATGCATGTTAGGCCAGGCGATCAAAGAGGTCAAGTGTCTCTTGTTTCATTGACGCTAATGATCCGACAATAAAACCACAGTTTTATGTAAGAATTCCAAATTACATCGATATTCATATCGCACGAGTACGAAAGCGTGTTAGACTTACATAGGAATATATTTTCTCTGAATGCTAAGATAATTGATCTGGCTGCCGTCACATAATTATCAGCCATTTGTGATGCCACATTGAAATTAAATGACAGCCATCAGATATTTAAGTGGCATTATAGTTTCGTTTCCTTTATTGCTGCTTTACGTCCTATTAACGGACGTGCCAGGTTTGGGTGGTAGAAGAAATCCTGAGTTTCCCCAGAAAAAAAAAACGACCTGTGACCAGTACCTGGTGACTGCACCACGTCCACCTCGAACCCGCGACACAGAGGTTACGCCTTAACCAGTCGGCCACTGCGGTCCGACATTTTTAAGTGACAGACGCCAGGTAAAATATCTTCGCATTCAGGAAAAAACATGCCTATGTGAGCCTAGTACTAACATGATCTGATGTTACATTGTATATTTCCAAACCCAATCACAATGGCGACAACAAAGTTTGCTTCTGAGTGGGATTCAAAGATCGCAATCTTTAGTGTTTCTCATATTCAATTAACAGAAAATTAATGCAAAACGTATTAGCTATTATTAATAGTATTACTAATAAGAAAATGAAACCTCAGATTGTATCCTGGAATTCAGACTGGTCTTACCAGTGTATACCATTTATATTTGATTGGTCGATATGATCCACACGGTAAAAATGTTTAATGATGCACCTAAGTCACGAAATGAAACTGTACAAACATTTCTATACAAAACACCACTAGAAGATAAAATGACATGAAATGAATATGACATTAACACAGACCAGTTTTGTCATGTTCACAAACACATATGTCACAAATCCGTCGTGTTTAAAACAAATTCGTATTAATTCGTACCAATCAATTATATCTGATGTTGTTTTCTGCGATAACGGGTAAAACAAGTGATTGCATTTGTTGTAGAAATATAAAACGGTAGTAGATATCTATCAATGATTTAACGGAAATAAACTTTTCTTGTTCAAATGGTGACTTTTACAGTGACAGTGTCGGTATATAAGATAACTACTTTTTAAAAAGCTTAACTGAACCGTTCAGGCAGATGTTTGGACTAACCACTTAAGCTTAGACATCATAGATATCAGTCATTATGAAGCTTTATCAACAGATGACAGTGAGATCACACCACATCGTCCTTACACAGAATATCTACCGCCACAGTAAGTGCGCTATGTCTCGCCAATAAAATGAGGATTTACGTCCCCAGTTTCAAGTTCATAATGCGATACATCTGATATTGTATTAGTCACATTCACGAGATGGACACTGTGTAACAGTGGGTTCCCAGCATTTTATCTCTAACGAACTTTCCATGATTTCATATATATACTTTAGTTAAACAGACCAGAAGGGGCGGACGATTGTAATATACATGTTTTAATACCTTACCTGTAAGTCGTGAAATGATCGGTAATGTTTCCTAAGGATCAGACTTCAAATATCTTACCTTGACGGACAAATCAACTTCACGAATTTTCAACAAGTTCTATTTTACTCTGGTGTAATCATAACAGATTATCAGGTAGTGTCCCCGTATATAACGGACTGTTATGTGGTGTCCACGTACACAACAAATCGCCACGTGATGTCTTCATACACAACAGATAACCATGTGGTGTCCTCATACAAAACAGATCACCATGTGGTATCCCCATACAAAACAGATCACGTTGTGGTGTCCCCATACACAACACATCACCATGTGGTGTCCCCATACACAACAGATCACGTTGTGGTGTCCCCATACAAAACACATTGTCCTGTCCCCATACACAACACATCACCATGTGGTGTCCCCATACACAACAAATCACCATGTGGTGTCCTGTCCCCATACACAACACATCACCATGTGGTGTCCCCATACACAACAGATCACGTTGTGGTGTCCCCATACACAAGAAATCACCATGTGTTGTCCCAATACACAACACATCACAATGTGGTGTTCCAATACACAACACACCACCATGTGGTGTCCCCATACACAACAAATCACCATGTGGTGTCCCCATACACAAGAAATCACCATGTGTTGTCCCAATACACAACACATCACCATGTGGTATCCCCATACACAACACATCACCATGTGGTGTCCCCATACACAACAAATCACCATGTGGTGTCCCCATACACAACACATCACCATGTGGTGTCCCCATACACAACACATCACCATGTGGTGTCCTGTCCCCATACACAACACATCACCATGTGGTGTCCCCATACACAACAAATCACGTTGTGGTGTCCCCATACACAACACATCACCATGTGGTGTCCCCATACACAACACATCACCATGTGGTATCCCCATACACAACACATCACGTTGTGGTGTCCCCATACACAACACATCACCATATGGTGTCCCCATACACAACACATCACCATGTGGTGTCCCCATACACAACACATCACCATGTGGTGTCCACATGCACAACACATCACCATGTGGTATCCCCATACACAACAGATCACATTGTGGTGTCCTCATACACAACACATCACCATGTGGTGTCTCAATACACAACAAAATGTCAGGTTTTATCACTGAATGTACAGAGGTGACCTTGTTGACAAATTCATCAGTCATTAATTTACGAACAAAAAAAACAAAAGTCCATGTTGATAATGATAAGTTTATTGTCCCTAATGGCTACAAGTAGTCACATAAAAGACAAATTCCTCTTCTACACATTTCCCTTCATATGACATTCATTACAAGCAGTCCACTACAATACATATGATTTTCCTATATCTTTAGCATTATTGTTTACATTCACAATGTACAACTACAGCCAGAAACTGAAATTACTCATAATAGTGATACATGAGAAGTCAGGTAGGTATAAAACTAGAACATAGATCAACAAACTAGAAAAAACTTAGAGCCAACATATGACGTCGTATGTGTAGGGAAGACACAGACTGTACTTACATATGACTTCCTATGTGTAGGGAAGATACAGACTGTACTGTTGTGAATTTTTCTGATGAAAAATGATCGAGTATGAAAGTTGGAAGATGGATGGTCCAGCAGCAAGATCTACATACTTTTAAGGAGATCTGTTTACAACAGGTACCAGTTACATATTTTATTAATTTACAGTTGTCTAAATAATTGAGCACAGAAATCAGTGCACCTCTACTCTTAAGTATCTAAAAAAGTCAAACTATCTGTTGACACTTCTATTTTCTTTACACTTACTCTATATTCGGATAGTCCAAATACCACTGTGTCCAGATTTATGGACTCTGTTGGCTAGAAAGAAAAATCAATGCTATAGAAATGTTGTCAGAGAAAATCATAATTAATATCCTCTACCATAAATGCAACTATTAATTGGGTACAGATATCTCACTGTAATTACCTAAAAGAAGTGATCATTGTACTATTATAATGGAAGCTTCTAAAGATGTTCATGTAAGGGAGGTAACTCTATATGTCTAATTTCATGTTGGCATAATGGATGAATGAATGAACGTACACAAACATGTATGTACTGATGTTTTACGTCTGCCAGTACCAGTAATTGTTAAAATGAAACAAGAATTTAATGCCATGAATTACTACATACATTGGAATTACTTGCATTTCAAGATCACATCAAGACTATGATAAAATCATCTAGACATATCTCAGATAAGATCATTATGACATATCTCAGATAAGATCATTATGATATATCTCAGATAAGATCATCATGCCATATCTAACATAGATCATCAAGACATATCTTGCATAACATCATCAAGACATCTAAGATATGTCTTGTAAGATATCAAAAGACCTAAATTTATGATAAACATAATGTAAGAACAGATCAATAAAACAGAAGATCTACATTGTGGAAGCCACCAAAATGATGTCCAAAATCAATTCTGCATTATGTGAGTTTAGTTTATGAAGTGTGAACACCCAATGAGTATCAAAAAAATTACCACAAACCTTAGGAATGCTTACAGCATGAAATGGATATGAGATGTAACTTACTATATACACCTGATTGGTCCTAGGTTTTCATACAGACAACAGAATTCAAAGACTAAAAGTTAACACTTTTGAAAGAATTTGAGTATTATCATGATAAAATGAACACAAAATAAAAAGGTTTTGCAAACAAACAAGAAAAAAAATTTGAACACATGACAATTTTGTATTGCTGTGTCCAACATGATCCAAATTAAATCATTTTAGTGTGTAAGCACTGATGTTTGCTTTCACTTTTCAACAGACACATGAATGAAGCAGACAACACACATATATGTACATACATCTTCACTACTTTAGGAATTCATTATAATAGTAGATAGTGTCATGTTTTTATCTGATTCAGCACTAACTATCTTGTAAAGGTGTATTTGTTAATGTATCAGTGTTTCAAACAAGTTTCAGAAATCTCTTTTTGTAATTAGTTCAAGTTTTATATAATGATTTGGGAATACTTCCCAGGCAAATTAATAGGATACAGTGATTAATATTACCATCCTTCTCTGGTGCAGAAAACTTTGTGTTTGTTTATACTTAACTTGCCAGTATATTGTGTTGTGACCTGGACATAACTGCTGCCTGTTACTTTCATTGTTTTTGTTTGGGAGGGGGGATTTACTGTGATTAGCAGGTCAACCCTGGAACCTGGAATATTCTGTCACAAACTTTTCTCAGTGTCTCAGGCATCATTAATGTTTTAGTGATTTTCTCTGTTGACATCCCTAAAACATTTCAATACTAAAAATTATATCTGTCTTACTTTTTTAGAATTGAAAACAAAAATCCATGCATCATTTGGTTTCTTTTTCTCTTTCTTTCTGTTTTTTTTGTCATTCCAGATTAAAAAAATGTTTACTCACTGGGACTGAAAAATCATATACATGAACTTTGTGAGAGTCAAAAATGTAGTTTTCCAAAAGAGAACTAATTTGATGGCACTTGAGTTCCTGAGATAATAAAATTTTACAAAACCAGTTGTACTATAAACCAATGTCTTTTTTTTCTACTATTTATCATTTTGTGGACCAATAATTCATGAAGAAAGGTTACCAAACGAAAATTTAAAAAAACTCTCAGGAAATTTAATAATTTTACTCATTCATGAGCTGAAACCTTAAATATGAATATGTATTTAAACTGATAAGTAGACAGACAATTTTTATTGCGACCTTTATAATTCTTGAGTGAAACTCTCAAGAAAATTAATTCTTTTACACTTTCATCCGCTGAGATCTTAAACATGAATATGTATTTATATTGGTAAGTAGACAGACAATTTTTTATTGCGACTTTCATTACTCTACATTATATACTCATAAGATGTTATCGTAAACCTTGTGGGGTATGATATGTGAGATATTGTTATCATATACCGCTTCCCCAAAATATCAAAGTGGTCTCTGCACCAACAGATATTATTATGGTGAACTATCAAATTACACTGATAATTTACACTTACTTGACAATGATGGTAGAGTGTAATTCATAAAAAATCACTTAATATCACTTAAGCATGTTAAATGCATTGATACAACCTCAGCAGTAAACTATGAAAATATTAAAAAAGGAATAATAAAAACAAGGGAGATCCAATATGGTTTAGGAAGGAAAAGAATCAAAATATTAAAAGAAAATTATATATACATGTAAACATACAAAACTGAATGCAAGAAAGTCAAACTGAGATCTATGACATATTGTTTGGAAAAAACAACCGACATATCCAAGCTAGACTGAAAACGATGAAACATGCTAAATTTGGAGCGCATACAATTATTGCAGTATTGATAGAAATGATAATGGTCCTGATATGACTATATATACATGTAACTAGCACTAAGTACTAACATCCAAGTAACAGGGACGGCAGAAAGAGACCATGACATCACATACCAACACATACACAAAGCATAACAGAATCATACTGACACACAATCTTATACTAACCTACAACAGTAATACCTAATATCTAACAGCTTGTACTATACCATCACAATGTACACTTATAACTACCATATTTTCCGACCTATAAAAACCGCACCCAAATATACGCTGCAGGGCTTGTTTTCAGCTATTTTTTTTTTCATTTGATCCACATATAAGCCCCACTGGTATGTAAGCCACATGCCCGACCGCTGAGCAAAAAAGGCTGGAAAATATGGAAGTAACATTCCTAGACATAGAATCTGATTCATCTATACATCCAACAAAAACGAGTCACGATTCTGATCCATAGTTACTAAGTAACCATACTTTATACACCATTTATATGACTACTTCATGTTTTGTAGATAGTAAATTAATCTAAATTATTTATTAACAGGTAATATACTTAAAAAATTTAACACATAGATTTCAATTAAAATATTCCATATACAAGTACCACATCACATTTTTTCACTATGTCTAAAGGTCATCATCTTTATTTTGTAGAAATCTATTCATCATTCATACACACTCTTTTTAAAAATTTTGACTTGTGAATGAAATGTTAAATTGTATATTTTTTTATTCCTAAGACAGCAGGAAATGCTTGATTACGTACCATTCCAATTTATTATATCAAAAAATCATAACCTGAAACTGATTATTCTAGTTATGTGTAGGACAAATTAAGATATGGATGACGAGGTGTTATGACAAAAATATCAATCCACTTGTCCTACATAATGATACCCGAACTAAAATGCAGTAAAATATAACTAAAACTTCAATAATAACTTAATTTTGAATATTTTTCCTACAATAAAAATCAGTTGTTGGAAAATGAGTAATCATCAGCACATAATATCAACAGTGAGATGACATTGTATATAAATATCAAAACTACAAGGTTTTCCTGAAAATGAAGGTCCCTTCGATCATAACTTGTAAGAGTAAAATCAATCAAATGCATAAAACAGATGGTATAGCACAAATTCATTCAATTCAGCAGAATATTTCAAAACAATATCAAATTGATAAGAAAGAATAAAACACAACAGAGTAATTTAACAAATCCATTGATGTAAAATTAACATACAATAGGTAAAAAAAAAAGGTGAATTATGTCCGACAGTAAACAAATCTAGTATGGACATCTCTATTTTCTGAATGGGCAATTTTTCAATAAAATGTGTATATCTTTATTTCTGACAGCAGTGAGTTGTGATAAGATTATTTCCCTTTAATTATTAGGTACCTCACAAGAGTGTAGGTTTGGGAAGTCTATTTAATTGAAACTTTTCATTGATTTTAAAAATGTGAATCTCTTCAACAAAGATTGCATGTTTCAGAAAGTTAGCATATATCCGCAAACCCATCTCACAATAAGGAAGTGATCACAAAAGACCACTGTGCACAGTAGCCAGGTATTGTGATTCTATTGTGAAAAGATTCAGCAGACTGAACAGACAACAAACACACTGGTGAGTTATGTAATTAATGGTTTCACATTTCACTTCTGACAACTACAAAACTTGCATGATACCTACTGTCCAACACAATTGCACTATAGTCAAGAGAGAAAATATCAGGAAATTTATATAAAATTGCACTATGTGAAACATAAATAATTAAATGTAAAGGACACTAATATGACAAATGTTTGCCATTCTCAGCTTGTTTTTTCTTCATTACAGAACACATCAATTTTGTTTCAGTTCCAATTTCTCTAATAATATATTGCGGATTTGAATCCGAGAAGATGAAACCAACACTATTGGTGTTGATGGTCGGTTGCCCGAATATCCTCTCAATAACATCTAATCAGGAAGTAACCAGAGAGAACAATTGCTACAGCTATAACGACACGAGATAGTAACACTAAAGAGATCCTTTTTAGAAAAATAATCACATTTCACCATATCATCAAACAATTTCCATTCCTCTCTTCATCCACTCCACATACATCTGATCTAACTTTCCATCACTTCACTACACTGATACATCCAGGTCAGTGAGTGTCACGCTTCACTGCTAATTTGTTATTAATAGTCCGCATGGCTGCACTAGCACCCCCTACAGGCTGATGGCAGGGTGATGATGGCAGACTAGGAGCCATTGGTGGCAAACAAATGTCTAACTTTTGAAATTCCTCCTCCGACACATGCTGTTTTAGTTTGGTTACAGCATTAAGCAGAGCCTTGCGCTCAATTTCTAGAGTCTTGATATGTGACTTGAGCTTGGCTTCTTTGGTTTGTAAACTGTGTATGGTGCTGTCCAGACTACGTTGATGACTGTTACAGTACTGTAATTTCTCCAGTAGTTCTACGTTCTGCTGCTTTAATTTCTGATTAACTTCCTCGAGTTTATGGATGACATCAGCCTCACCTTTGGTAGGAGAATACAGCATTTCCTCCCTCAGGACGTGGTACTCTACCTCATATGCGTGTAGCTGCTTGGTGATGTCCATCTCAAACACCTGCCATAAACATTACAGTTGACTTGAACACATCGAATATGACAAAAATTATGTTGTTTCACCCATAATTAGACCCACTTTTAAACTGTTCCTTACATCAATTCATACCACTATATTGAGCATCAACCAAAAACAAACTTTCCATGTTCTACCAGGTATATTGTTAAACAAAATATTTCAAATCCTATTCAATATGCAACCACTTCACAATAAGCTTTTATAAACACAGCAGCTTTCAATAAAATAAATACAAGGTAAATGAATGATACACATGTAAAATTAATTCTCTTAATATGTACACATTTTTGTCATGCATTCATCACCATAATTCCACAACTCAAAGCACCAGACTCTGAAGACACGTACTTAAAAACCTTTATGACAATAAAAGATTCTATAATTATAATGTTTGTACCCTATGTTGGTATTTTACCTGGTTGATGACTCTTTCCATTTGTATGATGCCCATTTCTGGAAGTGTTGTCTTGATGAACTCTACAATACTCTCAAATGAGTCACACTGCAGGATGAGTTCTTTGTGGTTGCCTAGCAACACCAGGGCAACTTTGAGAAGTACCTCAACTCCCTGCATGAGGAACAGGTCTGCAACAAGAAACATATGTATTTTGTGTTTGCCTAGATAAAGACATTCTTGCTGAGTATCCCAACAAGAATCCTCAGCTTTATCAAAAAAAGAAATGAAGAATGCTCTGAGTGACAAGAGAACATATGATTGGTACTATTTACAATAATCATCCAACCAACCCTTTCCACTATTACCCCATTCTTTGAGATCTCTTAAATCCTAACAGAGACTGTCACCAATTGAACAAAACAAATTTGTCATCACAGAATATAAATGATCAATTGGATGCGAGTTCATGATTTTCATAATTACCAAACATTCTGGCGACAAATCCGAGAGGAAACTGAGAAGCGAAGAGTGTAAGGAACCAGGGTGTGGCATAGAGGTTTGGAGCTATCTCATAATCCTCAAAGTGGTCATGGAGATCCTTATAATTATCATGGATTAGCCTCGTCAGCTGGTACAACTGTATCTGTAAATCGATAAATCACAGGTCAAAGGGAGATAACAACCAGCAATGAATTAACATACTGAACAATCTCATCCAAAGTGGTAAAACTTTGTGAGATTCTTGAGACAATAAATGAACCATTTTATCCTGTAATAAGTTCTGGGCACAAAAACTATGATTCAAAGTAGGGGGCTATTATGGATTGGGAAGAAGGTATTCATCATGAAAGCGAAACAGGATATTAAATATTATTATTAAATACATCCATGTTTCAAGAATCTATCCCAATGGAACAGCATTTGTAAACAGCCTTACTGAAGTGATGTAAGTATTAAGGAGCCTGTTTTCAGGAGTGGGTTTGATGCCAGACAAATAAATCAATGGTAAATCACATAACTGACTTAATACTTATAGACTTAATTAGTAAGAGTGAACATCAGATTTGTTGTCAGTGAAATAAAAAAAATACTTAACAAAAAAAAAGAAAGAAAAAAAACCCAACATTTTTTTAAAAAGCTGCTTGGACTGATCAACATCAACAACAACAACAGTTTGATTTTTCAGTTGTTTCATTGCTGACTTTATGCTATAATCTACCAACAAACCAAGGCACAATTGTAATTATAATTCATAGTTCTGAGTGAGTATAGTTGGTTGGTTAGTTAGTTGGTTGGTAGGTTACAGGTTTTCATCTCCATGACTCTCCCCAGACAAATGTCAGTGTTCTGTTAGTGTACAGGGTGTAATATATGTAAGTATAAAAATATTAAGTAACTTTATCATTTCTTAACCAACTTTTTTATTCATACCTCAAAAGGAATGCAAGTCGACAGAATTTAATAATATAAATAAAACTAAGGAAAACATGATACAGTGTATCTTAATGGCGTTTAAATTAAAACAACCAATGATTGGGTCCTTCCTCCCCTGATCTAAGCTCTCTAGATTATTTATATATGGGAATACTTGTAAGTCATCCTCTGCAACCCACAACCGGATTCTTTATGTGAACCTAAGCCCACAGTCAAACATGCAATACAAAAGGTTATAGTTGAGACATGTCCTGCTCTGATCAGAGACTTCAAGCATCATATTGGTGTCGTTAATTTCTAATAAAAGGTGCCATTTTTAGCATATCCTGTAAACAATATATTTCAGTAACAAGTTGGCCGATTTAATCATATTTTAATGAAAATGTACAAAACTCACAAAATAAAATTTACCAGGTAATTCATTTTGGATATGTTAACAATGTCTGAAGTAATATTAAAGGAAAAAGACATCAACAATTCAAATGGTTACATATGTGGCTGGACATCCTGTATATACAGTCACTGTGTGGTGTAATCCTAAGGACATGTAATTTACCTGTAGAGGCATCATATTGGGCTGAAATTGTCGTCGGAGTCCAAGGTTAAACATCATGTGACGTAAAGTTTCCCAAGCATGAGCTTCATCCATCTGTAGTGTAAAGTGGTTAGGTATAGGCAGAGTAGTGCTACAGATCATTGTGGGAAATGCTGAGTTGAAACAACATACAAATTGTATATGAATTGACATGAGGAGAATGTCAGAGAATGAGATAATACTGAAACACCAAAATATCAAATTGTTTGCATATCAGTGATACAGTATATGTCCTTCACCTTTATTATCAAACACTGAACTATCATAATATGGTATTTAGGGTCGAAGAGCTTTGTACACAAACAAACCATACTTAACACAAACATCTATGTTCAAAGCTGATATTTACATTCCCAATGAATGATGCTGTGTTGGTAATACCTTGATTTATGAACAAATTACACAGAGGCACATTGAGAAGAATCTTAACAGTTTATTACATTATAACAATATGGGCTAAGGGGCTATAACAGCTGTAGAGCTTCAGTATTACCCAGCCAACAAGTAAATACTTAAACAGACGTCAAGATATCGAAGCTGCTGGCCAAGCTATGTACCTGAAGAAAGGCAACTTAACTAGTTACTGCCAAATAGAATTCTTGGGGCACTTACGAATTACATAATGAAGTAAAATGCCCAAATTGAATATGTACCACAGCTGAAATATCCCAAAGAAAATTATACAAATAAAGGGTGCAACTATTATGTAACCAGCAAATTCAATTATACATAAACCTCATTTACCAACTACATGTATATGCTGCAGTAAACATACAAAATATGAATTGTTATTACAAACTATAACCACTTATGACCACGTTGATTAAAACTAAAATAAAATACCAGATGCTTCCTATCCATAGGCTGTATATAAGGGGTCCATGCTGGGTGTTGTTTATCCTAACTTAAATCACACAGCTTTCTGGTAAGTTTATATCAATATTGTAGATAATAATTTATAAACAGAAAGATACATTGATGAAATTATGGCTTCTGTATCCACGACAACCCTAAACTTGTGTACATACATGCATGAGGAGAATGCCAGCAATAAAGCTGAGGCCCTGACAATAGCCAACTTCTTTGTCAAGTAAACTGTATGCCTTGAGCAGGTTGTACAACATCAATTGTCCTGGTCCAAGCTGGGTAGAAAAGTATGGGTGTCCAGGAAAAGTTCGGCCTATTACACAAATAAACACTTGCTCTTAACTCTTGGTTCAATTGTAAGAACAATAAATCAATTTGATAATTTATCAAACAAGAAAATTTGAATCTTAAAAATTTTAAATCTGAAGATTATAAAATGCACTTGTTCTTTACTAATATTCACAATAATGCCAACATTGTCTTCAGCTTTCTACAGACACTGCTAACAGACTTGAAACCATATCTTGTAATTAAATCTATCAAATGTAGTTTATACCTGTCACTTACACATAGGAGATTCTGCACTAATATATCAGGAAAGTTACAGAAGACAATCTATGAGATACATTGTACTAGGTACCAACCGAGATCAATGAGAATGTTGTGTTGGTATTCCGTGAGTTCACGCAGCAGTTCATTGTAGTCCCTGGACGGCATGTTGGCCTGGGTTCCTGGGTAATGAAGCTGGTGTTGTTCCACCAACAACCACCAAATGTCACCTCTGTGGTTCTTTGGTACACCTAAGAATTTGAAAATATTGCTTTGATCTGACCACCAGTTTCTTGATATACATTCAAAATTTAACACTGTATTTTCTGCTCATTTTCATGATTACCTAGTATAACATTTACTATTTTCTTGTAAAATTGACTTCAAAAGTGATTGCACAGGGACGAATGATCACTCTCGTTGAATCTTTGCTGTCAATCATTGGTAACTTCTGAATGCTTTATTCACTGAAGTAAAATGTTCCTGTGTACCTTCAGGCCTGTTTTAAGGTGCTTTATTCATTGTACTGAAGAACTGATGTAATAACTTATTGATGGATTATTTTGTAAATTTCTTTTATTACGAATTTGCAAACTTATTTCTTAAAACTAAGTATGAATCATTAACATAGTAATACTGAAACCTTGTTTGACACAGTTTAATAGTTTCCTTGGCTCTACAGTATTGGTGTGGCGGTTGGTGGCCTGGAGCATCTGTTCCCAGTCTCTTGTAATGTCCTTGAGACATGGAGTTATCTCCTCATAGTCCAGACTTGGCTTTTCTAGTGCTTTGCTCTGACGTGCTGAAACAACAAAGTATTAACAGTTTAAATTGTGTGAGTGTTTGTGTACAAATTTCTTCAAATCTGCTAGATATTGATTTGATCACAAAATTGATATATATACTGCCTTTATACTAATAGATATTTTGTCGTTCTCTGTCATGGTGTCATAAAAATCCCAATAAACTCAGATATCCTTCTTCATCTGAAGACAAAGGTAAACTACAGCCCAAATGCTCTGGAGATATGCTAACCTACCTCAAATGCATTTGAAGGAAACATTATATATATATATATGTATGTACAAAGATAATTACTGGGTACCATAAATGATAGATACTATGGGGGAAAATGTGTTTTCGGAAAATATGTGTATCTGGAAAGATTTTGTATGATTGAATGACCTGGTGATTAAAGATTTAAATCTGATTGATATTGTACACTTTGTCATCATTGTTCGGTTCAACTATACATAAAGCACATACAGCCAGATAAAAAATGGTCTGGGAAATAATGTTGATAAATAATCCATACAAATTACAACAGAAAATAAACAGCAATGGTGATCGGTCATGCATGAATCTCCATAAAATCATAATATATCAAACTAACATGCACACATTGAAAAATTAAAACAACGATCAAGTAAAAAAACGTTTCAAGTAAACACCAATTTCTGCCTCTGTGATCATTGTCAACGAAGATATTTGAAATTTCCTTGGATTTTTTTAGGTAAAGAAGGTTTGGTCTATCTCAGAGATACTCCTAGCAAAAATGATGTCCTGTATCATCAAAAAGGCACATTGACCTACTTCATGATGTTTTGTTGTTAAATTAATCCAAAGACAACACAATATCAGCAAAACGGTCTCCTAGAAGGCTACCATGTAAGTTTCATAAAGAATGCATATTAAGCTAGTCTACAATTGAATCTGCAAAAATATTGACCACAAAAACCTAGAATAGTGAATATTGCTAAATCAAAGACAAAAGGTTCCCTTCAAATTATTATAGGCAGTGAACATAGAAACTAGATGGCAGTGACCTACTCTGCTAATGACCTCATTAACAAGTAACATGCCTTTACTTTCGGTACCGTTCTACTTCTATACTGATGAAAACAAAAATGGCAAACCAAAATATTTCAAGACAGGCAGGCAGATAGATGTTGTTTTCATTGTTTTTAATTTAATGAATTCTATTTATAATATGGCCAATAAATATCTCCTTTCTTCAAAGCATGAAGAAGTGAATTTTTACTGTTAAATTAGTCAATAAGTTACATAATCAAATACAGGGATTAACACATAGTTTCATCCAGATTTATTTATCCTTCTATCTAAATTGCTTTATTTACTAAAACTTTTTAAGGCATGTTGTAAACATCAATAACCATAAAGTATCAATTAAATTGTGAAAATTATAATCATGAATCAAACATGGCTAAAAGGCATCCAAACAAAAAGGATGAAAGTTCTAAATCTAGTTACCGTAGATGCTTACCTTCGATGATAACCAATGAGCGTGGTCCATAAAGGACAAAATGTCCTATCATTGATGCAGAGGAAGACAGATAGACATGGTGGTAAATATGAGGAGGTATAACAGAAGCCTCGTAACCAGAATAAGGACAGAGGCAGGTGAGAACGCAAGGGCATTAATAAGTTTGAAAAGCTTCAGGGATGTAAGGGAGAGGGCATGGGAGAAAGGGCATGGGAGAGAGGGCATGGACATCAGAATGTTTGGGAAGGAGGCAGGGGAATCAGAAAGCTGGGAAATCTTTAAGGAGGTGGGAGAGCTGGGACATCAGGAAGTTTGGGATGGAGGCAGGGGAGTCAAAAAGTTTGGAAAGTTTTAGCGAGGTCGGGGAGCAGCTGGGAAGCTTGAGGGAGAGAGCAGGTCATAGTTTCAGAAGGATGTAGGGGATCAGGCAGGTTCATCTTAATAGTTTTGGAAACTTGAGGAAAAGGGTAAGAACATCAGAAAGGTTGTGAAGGATGCATAGGACAGGGCAAGGGTATCAGAAAGTCTGAAAAAGAGGAAGGGATATAAGAGAGATTGTGAAGGAGGCAGGTGCATCTACAATATTGTGAAGAAAGCATGAGAGAGGGAAAGGATATCAGAATGATTGAGAAGGAGGCAGAGGAGAAAGAGAGCAGACAGCATCAAGAAGTTTGAGATGGAGGATGGGGTATCAAAGAGATTGGGAATCAAAAGGCAGGGGTATCAGTGAGTTCGGAAATCAGGCAGGGCCATCAGAATATTTGGGAATTTGAAGCAGAGGGAAGGGATATCACAAAGTTTTGAAAGCTACAAGAGGAGGTGAGATGTAATGATGATCTCCATAGGCCTGATAAGAATGACCAAAGAATGATGTATGCTAGACCAGGAAGGAGACATGATGACATAAACTAGATAAGAATAGGCATACAGTGAATAATACTGTTGCCTTTATCAGGATCCTTAATGGAGCAGTAAAGGTCATGACCTGAAGGGCATATAATGAATGCACATGAAATCAGGCACACTATACATGCATGTAAACATATAAAATGCATGTTTAACTTTATACATAAATATATGGTGCTTTATACAAAGATATGAGACAGAAAACAATGACAGGACACAATCAATACATTATGTATACTCGGACATATATACTGGATGTGTACTAGACAAAAACTTCTATCATATTAGATTTCTTAAATACATAGAATTAATAAATAACATGACAGGTCCAGTACTAAAATGTTTCATTTTCAAGTTTTGTCAATTTAACAACAGCAATATTACACTGAAAACGAACAGAGAATAACACAAAGAAAACCAGAACTCACCCATGCTTTGTTACTGTATACCTTCAAACCTGTCTTAAAGAACCAGGGTATCTTACAACATACGGCCTAAAAACCTGTCCAAAAGGATGACCTACAAACCTGTTACAAAAGACTCACACCATCCAGCCTAAACACCGATACAAACAGACCAGAATAAGTCACAACATCCAGTCTACAAACCTGTGTAAAAAGACCAGGGTAATTCACACCAACCAGTCTACAAACCTGTGTAAAAAGACCAGGGTAATTCACATCATCCTGTCTACAAACCTTTACAAACAGACCAGAATAAGTCACAACATCCAGTCTACAAACCTGTCTAAAAGGATAACCTACAAACCTGTTACAAAAGACTCACACCATCCAGGGTAAACACCTATACAAACAGACCAGAATAAGTCACAATATCCAGTCTACAAACCTGTGTAAAAAGACCAGGGTAATTCACATCATCCTGTCTACAAACCTGTGTAAAAACACCAGGGTAATTCACATCAACCTGTCTACAAACCTTTACAAATAGGCCAGAATAAGTCACAACATCCAGCCTACAAACATGTGTAAACAGACCACGGGAACTCACACCATCCAGCCTACAAACCTGTGTTAAAAGACCAGGATACCTCACATCAACCAACCTACAAACCTGTGTAAAAAGACCAGGGTAACTCAAACCATCCAGTCTACAAACCTGTGTAAAAAGACCAAGGTAACTCACATCATACAGCCTACAAACCTGTTTAAATGGACCACTATTACTAACACCAGCCTATCTACAGATCTGCCCAAACCGCTAGATATCAGATATTTTAGAGGATTTAAGCGCATCTTGATTATGTCTACTCATCAAATTTACGTCCCTGGCCCCACTTGTATAAAACATAGAAACTTGAGATTTCCTCAAGTCGAGATTTTCCTCAGCTAATATCTCCTTGAAAATATCTTGTATGAAAATTCCTCAAGGAATTTCAGGACATCCTAGCCGATGACTTCCTCCTGTTCCTTGAGAAAATTTTATACAAGCCGTTTTTGAGGAGATATCAGCTGAGGAAAATCTCGACTTGAGGAAATCTCAAGTTGAGATGTTTTATACAAGTGGGGCCTGTGGTCATAGAGTTTAAACTTACTGTGCGAAATTACATTGCATACCAATCAGTCTACTTGAACATTTGCAGCAACTTAAATTTTTTCTCTTCTTTTGCCTTTTATCTCCTTCACAAGCCTAAACAACCTCTCTCACATCCATATAAGCACTAAGTAAACCTCTTTGTTGACATGATAAATACCTATCAACAGACCGATGATAGGAAGTAAACATTATGACTATGTATATTGCTCTGTTAATAAATAACAATAAAATGACCTACCAACTAACCCACATTGGAGTTCTCACCTTTCATATCCTGTTTTTCTTTCTCCATGCGAATGAGTAAGAGGGTTTGCAGGATAGCCTTCTTCCACAGGGAACGGATCTCCTGCTGACTCAGGCGTGGCTTCTCCTTCTGCTTTTCCACCTCAATCTCCTCCTGCTTCTCTGTAATAAGTCAGAGCATTCTTCCTAGTCTTTCTAAAGTATGTCACACATGTCATTACCATATGACTCTGCTAACACTTTCTGTACCAAGACATTTGTCTAGCAATACTAACACCATGCTTACTAATAAGTCCATCTATATCTGTGGCTATTGAGGAGAATAACAAACAAATGCTGTCCCATTTTCCAGTGAATAGCTCATCCCTTCACTTGAAGTATTAAGTACTGGTAATGTGTCGAATCTGGGCCGGTAGGATTATGGTAAATTATGCCAGAGAAAATTAATGGTCCATGATGTCAAGAAGAGGGCTGTATTTTACACCAGTACACAAAATGTATTATACACCATCTTCTGTGAATCAGAACTGATTCTTTCTTGAGTAAATGAAAGAATTATTTCACCTGAATTATATTAAATATCTAAGTCACACAGCATCACAGAGGCATGCCACCTGTCTCAATAGAGCAACATTTGCTAAATATTTCACATGCCTTTCTACTTCCCTACTGTTTAAACAGACCATGTCCTCAGGTAGGTGTGTTGTTATCCTTGGTATAATGAAAGTATAACAGTTTATGGTAAATAAACATAATATTTGATAGTTTTAATGTCCTTATGCTAATCAGAGCAAAAAAATTCCTTGATTGTAATAAAAATATCTAGAAATTTATGTATTTATTATCACACTTTTCCATGACTTTTTTCTGTGTCATCTGTATATATACACTGTGCTGACAGTATCACCCAGAGCAACCAATTAAAATGAAGGAAAATCATACAATCAGTTGATTAGAATAAGATCAGTGAAAACTCATATACATGTATTTCGATTTCAGGATTCCTTTATAGTCTGATCATCATTAACAAAGTTTAAAAGCTTAAAAGAAATTGGGTACAGGTAAATAAAACCATACACATCTGTATGATTATTTCTCCTGTTAAGCTCAGGACAGATAACAAATTACCAATTCATTAAAAAAAGTTCTCGAAATAAAGCAAAAATAAATTCAAATTCTAGCATTCTCATGTATCATTAACTTTCAAATCAAAAGAACATTTACTCCATTTCGATGTACCGTATGGCAATGAATGGCTGATGCAGTGATTTATTTGATGACAAGATCTACAGCTGTGCACAGGAAATACGTAAAAGATCAATAATTCAACACTTCACTTATTGAGATATATTCAGATTATTTTAGGCATAATATCCGATCTTTATCCATTCCCTAGTCACGATTAAAAGTCACAGAACTTGTGAAAATTTACAGTTTCAGAAATCTGGTAAGAATGGAAATATCTACAAAATAAAAGTAACTTTTAATGGTTTATTTTCTTTGATAACCACTGTCACTTCTTAAAAACTGACAAAACAATCTGGAATCAAAATTGAATCGTAATGGAACAGAATCATCTTCTAATAAACTCAAACCACTTTCAAATGTTTTCTATTGAGAAGTAACGGTTAGTTGTGTTAAGAAATCAGAGAAAGCCAGATTTCTAGTGCTTGAGCAATTGTTATATTTGTTTAATTTATTGTTGTTTTAATTCCTATTAATAGCCAAGTTCATTTAAGGACATGCCAGAATTTACTGGTGGAGGGCCAGAATTCTCAGGGGAGAAAAACCACTGACCTGTGGCCAGTACCTGGCAAGTGCCCCACGTAGGCATCAAACATGCAACCAACAGATGGAGGGCTAATGATAAAGACGTTCTGAGTATCTCAAATTGTGTGGTGAACAATTTATTTTCATTATACAATGAAACAATGGTAGTGTGACCATTTTTCACTATAATGTGGCCCCTTTTTTTATAATCTGATGTTGCTTGTCTAAAAACATTTAATTGTATGCTTAATGTTTCGTTGGTACTCATAACTGTCTCATTTGTTTTCTATGAACAACAGATTCTGTTTACTGTGTAGACATTTAAGTTTAATGTAAACATTAAAGTTTAATGCCTTCTTTACTTCAAAATAATTTTTTCATCATTTTGTTTTCAACAAAAAATATCTGTAAAATTTGTTCAAATTTAAGGTGACATATAATTCCCTTCAGCATAGTGCTTTCATACTAGTGCTAAGAAGAGTATTTTCCTGGTCAACTAGTCTCCAGCAGATTTGTATGCATATCAGCAGAAAAAGCTTGAAGTATTTACAACAGTAAAGCATTTGGACACTGAAGATTGGGATTGTAACATTATAGATAATCTTACCAGGCAGAGAAGGGCTGATAGGAGCTCTGGCAGGGGTGACAACTCTGTTGAAGATGGCCTGTCTCCAGGACCCACGTCGCTTGGGGGTGTAGTTCTGTGGGGTCCCATTGCTGGTATTATCTGTGGAAGATGGAGGAGTGTTTCGTCTGGATACATTCCCCACAAACAGGAACCTGTAGAAGTAAGAAGCAAAGTCAATCACCATAAACAGAACACATGGACAACTAATATCACCTACCAACTGACAGCAGTCGTACTGTATCTGCAGTGATCCCAAATCAGTGTGACAATTCAGTTCAACCCCTAATGGTCCCAACGATTAGTCCTATAATTAATATCTTATCCTCTGTATACCCTTAACCTTTATTTACCTATTTATGGTTCCAGTACCTGTGGACTAAAGAAAACAGAAAGGACAATTTCACCTCTGAGGCTTAGCAACTCACATTTGTTTCATAGGACTATTGGTACTAGCCCTCCGTGAGGCGTGCTGTTTAAAGTCTTCCTGTGAGGACTCTAAGTGGCCTTTGTTGTTGTAGCGGGATTTGAGGGCTGCATCAGGCATGGCCCCAACAGTAGAACTGCGAGGACGTCCTAGTTTAGGAGACGAGGGTGGAGAAGTTTCAACAGGAACTTGGGGGCCCGTTGGAAACTGGAAATGGACATCTTTGGTGAACGCTGGTGATGGCATAGGAGAGGCCTCAGGTGTAGATGTGGCAGAAGAATCCTGGTAAAGGAAGAACAATAACTTAATTCTATATATTTTCTTCTACTGTAGGTATTGTTTAAAATAACATTATGTAAATATCAAAATACAATACAGTTTTTCTTCTAAAGTAAATTCCCTTGCTAAACAAAACCATTAAGTCATTTTCACATAATTATTGGTACAAATGGCTGCAAGCAGAGCTTTGTTTTACATCTGATAACAAATAAACATGAGATAAGTATTTACATTTTCTTGCATTGATTGAGTGGTGTGTCTGATGTCATAACTATGAACACATGATTTCTTATATATTGATTTTATCTGTGTTCAGCTCTTTATCTCCATTTAGTTATACCAAAGACAAATATATATACACATATATATTTCCAAGCTGCTTATGTGGCAATCATTTTTTAATGCATATTGCACAAAAGTAAAAAAAGTTTTGCAATTTATGAAGGCTTTGCAAATACAAGGGCTAAGACGTTCAGTCAAAATAGTTTTTGCAGTAAACATTTCCTTGCAATTCAGGCAATAATAAAAGTCTACTAACTCTTGAAGATATTGATAGAGTGTGTCGGTCCCATAGCTCTTGCATATACAGACTTAAACCATTATGGAACCTATCAATGGTGTCATTTGATATTAACCAATATATCAAATTTTATTCAAATCTGACAATAAAGATTAAGGTTATGTAAATAAAACAGAGAAATTATAAATTTTATCATTTTTAAAACCCTGTAGCTCTTGCAAATATTGACAGATTTTGACAAACTTCAAAATTTTTAGAGATCCCAATAATAAAAAGCAATATATAAAAAATTTGGTTAAAAACTAATGGTAAAAAATAAGGTTATTGAAGGAAACAAAGAAATTATCTATCTTTAGAATTTGATGGTACCCTAGGAGTAATAAGGTCAAAGTCAAGAGTCAAGGTCATAAAAGTTTGTTCCAAATGAAAGGGTTGTCCTAAGAAATATACATGCCTAATACGAAATCATTATCTCTGTACATTGATAACATATGTGTGAAATTGCTGGACAGATTATCATACAAAAAAGCAAACGACAGATGGACCAAAGACAAAATTCTCCGCAACCTTGATCTCAGACCATAAAAATGCTTTATTTCATTTTTTATGTAATAATTTAGATATTAAACATAAGGCAATCTGTGGAGACACTGTGCACTTACTATAACAGAGAATTTAAACAAGAAATAGAAGAACATTGTTAATGAAAACACTGATATTACATTATTATAGTGCATCACAAAGTGTTATACCAACTTTTATTACATCTGATACCTGTTGGTCAACTTTGGTTTCACATTATTTTATATAATATAAACAGTATCTTGTTTGCAATAAAGGCTGCTACAGATAGGGTATGTCAAGTGTCTTCAGAAAGAGATAGGCCATTACCATTGAGCGTGTCATGCTGCTCTCACTGTCTGCTGTTTCACTTCTCTGCCTGAATGATTCCTTAGCCTCTTCCTTCTTCCTGCCCTGTTAAGGTCAAGTTCAACTATCAAATAATGCATGTGTAAAGAAAATGTTCTAGTTTTCAATGCCAAAATATTAGCTAAGTACCCGTAGCAAGATTTTTTTGAAATTTTACACATTACAAGGGTTCTAGTTAAAATTTCAAGGAAAGAAGCATGAAAATTTTTGTAAAGTCTCCAATATGAAATCAATTTCAGTTAAGAAAACAGTTAAAACATATATATCAATGTGACTGTTTCCTTTAATAAACATGTACAGTGTTTGAAGTAATCAAGCATATATCTATTGAAAGTTAACAAAATGTGTGTGAATATAAAATAAATCATTAATAGAAATATTAATCAGAAATAGCTTTTAAAAGCTCAGAGTAAAATGAGAATCAGTCAGCATTTTTGTAATTAAGTTAAGCAACCCCATGAAATAAATTATGATATATACCAGTAAATTATCAAAAGAGTGAGCAAGACTCTTCTTGCATCGATTCTTTAAATTGTCCAAGGCCAAAGCTGCCTTTCCTTTCCCCTCCAGAAGATTGAACTGGAAAAAAAAATTCAATTTGGTTATTATAATTTTTATTACATAGGTTCCTTCTAAAATGATGAATAATAAACTATTGATGAAGTACAAACAAGACTTCTGAATAGAATATTATTATCACATCAACCATCAGCTTTTGATTCCCTTATACAAAACATATACTTTTTCTGTGGCTTATCCGAACTGCAGTACAAGAAGTGTGTATCTAAATAATAAAGTATCCATTGTGAAACCTTACTTATTTTGTCAATATCATTCACATAAGTGTCTATAAGCTCGTTGGAGTTACATGGACACATGGCAATAGAGTTATCTCCCATCTTTTTTTTTTTTTTTTTCTGTCATGCTACCACACATTTTTGGGATATTTTGTTGTCTTTCGTGTCCTTTTTGTGTGTAATGCTTAGTATGTAACACAGTTGTCTCCCTTGTCCTGGAATGCCTGGTGTGTTTAACCACGGACTTATATACACATGTATATGTATATATATATGTGTGTATATAAGTCCGTGGTTTAACAAAGTAGTCTCCCCTTACCTCAGTTTTATGGACAAGTTTGCTGTCTGATATATGGGAGTGTTCCTTCTGTTTGTTCTCACAGAGTTTCCTAAGACCAATCATAACTATCTCCACCATTTCATCATAGCTCTGTGGATTTTCCATCTGAAAACAACAATTTTGGATTACCAGGTATACAAACTTAGGATCATCATACTCCAGAAACATGTAAAAATAAACCATATTTATCTAGATTAGTGAATCTTGGAAAACACTGCTACATAAACAGCACTTCTCTGTTCGAATCAAAGACCCAAACTGAAGAAATGTTCGAGTATATTTCAGATATATAACAACAAGATAAACTTCCTCTTTTTTATAAGCAACAAAGATGTCTCTCTTATTTCCAGGACATTACAGGGGACAAATGACAAGCAATCAATAGACTTCTGTCGGATTACATGGAAAGCCTTGGACATGGTTAAATAAAAATCTCAAATTATATACACAAAAACAATTCACGTTTCCAGTAATAATTCTTGATATATTACTTTTAAGAAAAATTTGTGTATTTTTTATTTTTCATTGATTTAACAAAAAGTTATGCATAGGAAATTGGCTACCAAGTTTTCAACACAAAAAACCTAAAACAGATTATCATCGTTACAGACACATGAAATATATTCAATTCCTGATACTGTGAACAGCCTTCTGGGACGGACAGGACAAGCTTCATCGGGGTTTCAATAACGACTGCTTTGTCACGACAACACAAAATCTTGAATAAAATCACCAATTTCAATACGCAAAAGCAATCAAATTATGTAAATTTTGAAATGTGATCTTTGAAATCACAGCAAATAACCTTAAAAATATACATTAGCACATTAACAAAACATTAGAGGTAAAAATCAATATCAACAAAGTTAGAATCCAATTACTTCTAAATGAAAATAAAACATCTGTGTACAGCAATGCTTTGGCACAAGTACTGATATTTGGTTTTGTTTCAAGTTTGATTTTGTGTCCTTGAATCTCGAAAGGTCATAGAAAGACTGTCTACACAATCATTTGAGGAACAGGTGTAAGTACAACATCAGCAAAATATAAGGCCTGTAGCATGACCCACCATCACGTCACAATATAATGACATAAAAAAGGGAACTATCATTTATACCACAAGCTATTTCAAGAGAAATTTCACTCAAAGCAGCTTTATTTGGTTTTGTAGAGGGGAAACACCAATAATTTTCTTGAAACTAAAACTAAATGGACTTAAAAGTGAAGTAATGATGAAAGATCTTCCAGAGAGATGAAAAGTAGAGTATCACTGTGGACAAGAGATATAGGTCTGACCTTCAGTATTATTGTAAACAATGGAAGTAGGTCTGACCTTCAGTATTATTGTAAACAATGGAAGTAGGTCTGACCTTCAGTATTATTGTAAACAATGGAAGTAGGTCTGACCTTCAGTATTATTGTAAACAATGGAAGTAGGTCTGACCTTCAGTATTATTGTAAACAATAGAAGTAGGTCTGACCTTCAGTATTATTGTATACAATGGAAGTAGGTCTGACCTTCAGTATTATTGTAAACAATAGAAGTAGGTCTGACCTTCAGTATTATTGTAAACAATAGAAGTAGGTCTGACCTTCAGTATTATTGTAAACAATAGAAGTAGGTCTGACCTTCAGTATTATTGTATACAATGGAAGTAGGTCTGACCTTCAGTATTATTGTATACAATGGAAGTAGGTCTGACCTTCAGTATTATTGTAAACAATAGAAGTAGGTCTGACCTTCAGTATTATTGTAAACTAGGGAAGTAGGTTTGACCTTGAGTATTATTGTAAACAAGGGAATCAGATCTGACCTTCAGTATTATTGTATACAAGGGAAGTAGGTCTGACCTTCAGTATTATTGTAAACAAGTGAAGCAGATCTGACCTTCAGTATTATTGTAACAAGAAAAAAGGTCTGACCTTGAATATATTGTAGACAAGAAAAAAGGTCTGACCTTGAGTATATTGTAGACTACAGCTGTATCCCTCTCTGGCAGGTTCTGTATTCTCCTGACCAGCAATTCATACGCATCCTGCGGAGATAGGCCTGTGAAATGATCAGAAAGCTTTGTCAGATCAAAGTGACACATAGGATTATCATTACATTAATATAACCTGAATTACCTTAGAGGTCTGTAATACTCTGTCATTATACTATGAAAAACAATTTCTTTGAAAGATTATGATAAAATACTGTTTCAGTAATGAGTAAGTAGGTTATATCTGTATGAGGGCTGTTTTAGGGCCCTATCTTGGCAACACTAATGTCTCTTACTGATATGATCAATTCAATGATTCAATCTAATCTCTTGTGATCCATCTGGGATGTGATGTACATGCCCCTTTTATACGGATGGGACACATTCCATGTTTGTCTATTGATTGATATATACTGTGTACATGGATGTGAAACATACATTCTTAATATATAATTGGAAAGTACATACTTCATGTTACAGTACAAATGAGAAGTACACACTCTTTATACATGGATGAGAAGTACACACTTCATGTTACAGTACAAATGAGAAGTACACACTCTTTATATATGGATGAGAAGTACACACTTCATGTTACAGTACAAATGAGAAGTACACACTTCATGTTACAGTACAAATGAGAAATACACACTCTTTATATATGGATGAGAAGTACACACTTCATGTTACAGGACAAATAAGAAATACACACTCTTTATATATGGATGAGAAGTACACACTTCATGTTACAGTACAAATGAGAAATACTCACTCTTTATATATGGATGAGAAGTACACACTTCGTGTTACAGTACAAATGAGAAGTACACACTCTTTATATATGGATGAGAAGTACACACTTCATGTTACAGTACAAATGAGAAGTACACACTCTTTATATATGGATGAGAAGTACACACTTCATGTTACAGTACAAATAAGAAATACACACTCTTTACATATGGATGAGAAGTATAAAGTCCATACATAAGTATTATGGGACCATCAATTTCAGTTCGATGATTTTACTCCAAACTCAACTTTCCTTTTGTAAAATCAAACTGTACTCCACTAGGCTTTTCCTTTTGTGTTTGGTGCCTTTTGCCACAAATTGCTACGTCAAACTTAATGATAACCTGGATTAAGCTTGGGTACCCACAATTCTTTTTCTCTCATCCAAAGCAGCATTTACATGTGTATTGCTGGTAAATCTCACAACTGCTTTTACTTTAAATTGGCACATAAAAAAATGCTAAAAGTAGCAAGCTTTTGGAATTGTTCAAGCTGGTTTGACACACAGGCAGGCAGCTGCACATTTTAATGTCAGCCATTCTACTGTTTCTCGGTTAATGAAGCATCTGAACTAAACTTGGATGTTGATGAGCATCCCAGGTTTGGCAGACCTCAGAAGACAACAGAAAGAGAAAAAAGACTTCATTCACTTCTGCCAATAGATTCAGAGGATAATGGAATGTCAACGTTCATGTAAGCAAGATAGCCTTGAACAAATGTTTGAACAATAAGCGACTTGCCACCCAGTAAACATCTTCTGTTGACTTGAAGGCACGAACAAGCAAGACTGCAGTGGGCACGTGGAATATGAGATCTTGGTGAAGAGTATATTGGTCTAATTGTGATTTTTTACTTAGTCTGACAGATAGCAAGATCCATGTTTGGAGATCAAAAATTATGGCATACCATAACAAGAGGTCCACAAACTTTAACGGTAATCTGACTACAAAAACTTTCAGCAGGGAGAACGGTTCTTTTGTCTACTTTGAATGAAATCTTACTAAGAAGCTGTTTTCCAAGATGCAGTTGTAGTTTTGGTGAGGAGTACGTAACTGTAACAAGTGTAACCTACTTTTTAACAGTAAAGTTGAAACTTAATCAAACTGGTGAAACTTGAGAAGAAGTTTTCAATAGGTATTTCACAGTGAAACCATGATCGGCTATCATGTTTTAAAATGGCTTCCCTGGCTGCTGAAGTTTTGTCAAGGTTGTTGAAATAACAACACTTTGTTGGCTACCTTTCCTTAACATTCCCACCAACTTTTAGCTCAATGGCACCAGAGGAACTGGAGAAGAAGTTTGAAATATGTTTTTCAAGCTGGCAGTCATGTCGGTAATCTTGGATTTCAGACATACCCAAAAAATAACAACACTTGGTCAGGATCATCTCAAGATCATTTCATGCAAGTTGGAGCCCAATCCAACTGGTGGAACTAGAGAAGAAATTTGAAATGTCAAAAGTTAATGCACGGTGGATGGCGTACAGCGTCTGACGACGGACAAAGCACAATGACTATAGGTCATCATTACCCTTTGGGTCAGATGACCTTAAAATCACATTCTGGTCACAATAATAACACATTTGGATGTGGAGTAACTGTTTGGGGATTCTTTTCTCTAAACTGTAAGCTTCTCTAGCATGTCCTTGATGGAACTTTAAATGGACATAAACACTATGATCAGATCCTTTGACCTTTAGTGGTTTCACACTTCAATGCCCATCCATTAGCTAATCAGCCAATCCTAACAGATGACAATGATAAACCACACAGAGCCCACCTAGTGCAAGACCATCGTCAACAAGTGATAGAGGTACTCAAATGGCAAGCAATGTCACCAGACATGGACCCAATTGAGCATGTGTAGGACTATCTCAAACTAAACATCATTGCAGTTTCCAAATTGCCAAACAATAAAAGTACAGGCCCCATTTTCATTAATCTTCCTTAACTTAATTTACTCACAAAGAAACACATAAGAAATATAGGGGAAAAGTAAAATGAGGAAGTAATGCTTTTCTACGGACAATTTTAAATTAAGGAAAATTCCCCAAGTTAAGAAAGATTCATGAAACTGGGTACTGGTAGCATTGATTAGGAGTGGCAAGGGTTTCCCCGGAACAAGCTGAATTATATCTAAAGTTTGGTGGCTATACTCTATAAATGTCATTTTCATACCCAAGAGAACTTGTTGATTATATTTTCTTGATCAAGTAACTGGTTTTGCTGATTTGATGATGTGTCTGTTGATAAGAAACAATTAATCCGTAACTTTCTTCTAGATTTTGGGAATGCCTTTTTGAGCAAGTCTTTTTAAAATGATACAGCACTTCCAGTTCTGCAAATTTCTTTTTGTGTCATTTGTGTATAGTCCCATTAGCCTACAGAAATTATTTCCATATTCCTCTGGGGTTGCTATCCAATTCTTTTTTTGAAATACAATGAATGAAATTGAGCCCAATCTAAGATATGGATGATCCCTAAATTGTCACCAAATGTAAACATGGCTGAAAATCAAACTACGCACCCCTTGTTTCTTTACAAATAAATAGGAAGTATACATTCCACTATATGGCTTGAACACATGGGAAGGACACTCTCTGTTATATAGAAGGAATATATATACTTGCTTCTATATACAAATGGGAAGTACACATTCCATTTTATCAATTGAATAAATGAGTACACTCTCTGTTATATTGATTGAAAATATATACTTCCTTTTTCTATAAACGTGAAGTTCACACTCCATTCAATAGATTGAATACATGGGAAGTACACTCTCTGTTATATCAATTGAAAATACACATTCCTTGTATCTTTATACACACATGCACTCCATTCATGTAGATTGAATAAATGGGAAATACACACTCCCTTATATGGATTAAAAGCGCATACTCCTTTTGACAATAATTTACACTATTTCATTCAATGTCAATCTGTAATTATCTTCAGTTCAGTAAGGTTCCTTCACAAGTCCTGACACTTATACTGGTAAACAGCTTGTTGTAAGTTATCATATCCAAAAACATTGCAATATCATGTAAAACCTTTTCTCTTGAAAATTTCAGAATTTTCATCACCCTTAAAAGCTTGTTTGACATGCAAAGAGACTGTAACTCCAGCAGAACAGCTAGCTTGGCTTACTAGCCAATCACCATTTAAGTCTATAAAGACGAAGATTCATAGTCATAATTCTCTAACATGTGATAAGCAGAACTCTGCAAGCTTTGCTTTGACACGTCCAATAGGTCATGTAAATGATGGTGGGGGGGTCTGCTATCGCCAACACAGTGTGCTATATATGGCTTCGCTGGAACGTGTATACGCCATAACAAGCTAATAAATTTACCAATACATACAAGTATTGTGTGTTATACAAGTTTGTGGAAAAGGTCATCACTTTTTTCCCAGAATGACAATTACAAGCAAGATGAAAGCAATGAGTAAATTCACTTGCAAATGGAAATTTCAATACCCAGCTATATATGTCATGCATAGATAAATCAATAGTGGTGTTTAGGCAATTATGAGGAAAGATACCTTTGATGATATAGCACTATTACAGAAACACTTTTATATAAAGGACAACCTAACAGCTTTTAAATAAACAAGGAATACATGAAATCCCTGAAAGTTACAAGCTCCAAATCACAAGAGTATTGGTAATATTGATCATTGATTTAAGAAATTAGCTCATATCAATGATATCATTTTCATTTAAAAGGATTTTAAAAGGAATTTAACAAATTATGACATTAAAAATGCCTAAACATCAATATCAATAATTAAATTGAAATCAATAGATCTAAATTTTATTTCTGTAACTATATCCAACACAACACCAGATGTGATATGACAATATCTTACACAACACCAAATGTTTATACATGTACTTCAGTTCAACATTTTCTAATTAATCGCTCAGTTTGTTTCCAATTTTCTAATTGTTGTAGGCTGAATAATCTAAAGAAAATAAGGTTTCCATTAAACTAAGTGAATTTTATTCAGTTTAATGAAATAAATGTATCATTAATTATATACAGGAAATTTTAGTGATTTCTAACAGTCCATCGTAATGTCACCTAGTTTAACCTCTGATTCCAGTAATATCCGAGTGCTTCATGAATATTATATAAATATGCAAACTGACAATTAATCATGATTTTGTTTTGCACAGCTTGAAAAAGAAACCTTATTTATAATTTCAATATATCCTTAAGCTATAGTTGACATGTAATCAAGATTGGGAATTCAACTTACTGTTGATCTCCTGGCAGAGTCGATGTAACTGATGAAGGGGACACATCTGACAGATCTGTTGGCGATTTTGTTCATAAGCTGACTGGAATGCTGACCTCAATACCGCCATGATCTCATCAACCTGAAAGACACCACAATTAGTTATTATATACAATCTTACACAGAAAAAGCCACACGGCAGTTATTGGCAACTTAATCTGCTTAAACAAGTACATATATCTATATCGTTGAAATTTCAATGGGTGGAAATATGCCAAGGTGATAGGGTACATCATATAAGAATTGATTTTTCAAAGGTATGAAATAAAAAATGTGAATACTTTCTAAATTATTTAAAAGAACATATTTATGTACTGTATGTGTTAAAAAATTTTAGTGTCTGTTCATTGAGACAACTTACAAATGCAACAAAATTAAACTAGTTCCAAATATGGCTAAAAAATAAAAAAAAAACAAAAGAAAAAACTTAAGCTAGTACCTAATTTTTGGAGCTAGTAAGAACTTCAACAATTTAGAAAATATTCACTTTTTTCCATTAAAACTCCATTAAAAGTTAGCAGAGTGATTCTCACTTATGCTGATACATTAATATTTTAAGAATGGACATGTACACAAAATCATTAAGTTTAAGGCTAGCTAAGGCAATAAAGTGTCTTTAAGACCAATTTATCTTGGCCTAGATCCTCACGATCTACTGTATATTTTTTTCTCAAAATTTCTAATTTTCTGGATTAAAATATTGCCACTCAGTTAGCATTCCTTGCAGCAAGTTCGTGCTTTTCTGCACTTAACATTATCATACTAATGAGTGCACCTTGATAAAACATGAAAGTTTCAGCTAAATCAGCTGTTATTTGACTTAGCTACATAATCACAAACAACACCTCCTACCCACAACCTCAATTCCTTCTTGCATGCAATCAAACTTAAATAAGGAACATTTCCACATTTCTATTGATTTCCATTCCTAACTGATATTCGAATTAATTCTACATAAAATGTATCTTTTAAGATCGGGTACTACAAAAATATAAAACAGAGCAAATTACCTAATAAGTGATTCTATAACAACTGCTTCGAATATATCCGATTGGTACTCGCAGGAGAAACACAAAAGTCTTTATTTGCAATTGAAGGCTCTTCACAACAATAGAATAAATGCTGATACACTGCTCGGCTATTATAGAATAAATGCTGATACATTGCCTGGCTATTATAGAATAAATGCTGATACATTGCCTGGCTATCATAGAATAAATGCTGATACACTGCCTGGCTATCATAGAATAAATGCTGATACACTGCTTGGCTATCATAGAATAAATGCTGATACACTGCCTGGCTATCATAGAATAAATGCTGATACACTGCTGGGCTTTCATAGAATAAATGCTGATACACTACTTGGCTATCATAGAATAAATGCTGATACACTACTTGGCTATCATAGAATAAATGCTGATACACTGCTTGGCTATCATAGAATAAATGCTGATACACTACTTGGCTATCATAGAATAAATGCTGATACACTACTGGGCTTTCACAGAATAAATGCTGATACACTACTTGGCTATCATAGAATAAATGCTGATACACTACTTGGCTATCATAGAATAAATGCTGATACACTGCCTGGCTATCATAGAATAAATGCTGATACACTACTTGGCTATCATAGAATAAATGCTGATACACTACCTGGCTATCATAGAATAAATGCGGATGCACTGCCTGGCTATCATAGAATAAATGCTGATACACTACTTGGCTATCATAGAATAAATGCTGATACACTGCTGGGCTTTCATAGAATAAATGCTGATACACTACTGGGCTTTCATAGAATAAATGCTGATACACTGCCTGGCTATCATAGAATAAATGCTGATACACTGCCTGGCTATCATAGAATACATGCTGATACACTGCCTGGCTTTTATAGAATAAATGCTGATACACTGCCTGGCTATCATAGAATAAATGCTGATACACTGCCTGGCTATCATAGAATAAATGCTGATACACTGCTTGGCTATCATAGAATAAATGCTGATACACTACTTGGCTATCATAGAATAAATGCTGATACACTGCCTGGCTATCATAGAATAAATGCTGATACACTACTTGGCTATCATAGAATAAATGCTGATACACTACTTGGCTATCATAGAATAAATGCTGATACACTGCCTGGCTATCATAGAATAAATGCTGATACACTGCCTGGCTATCATAGAATAAATGCTGATACACTGCCTGGCTATCATAGAATAAATGCTGATACACTACTTGGCTTTCATAGAATAAATGCTGATACACTACTTGGCTATCATAGAATAAATGCTGATACACTACTTGGCTATCATAGAATAAATTCTGATACACTACTGGGCTTTCACAGAATAAATGCTGATACACTACTTGGCTATCATAGAATAAATGCTGATACACTGCCTGGCTATCATAGAATAAATGCTGATACACTACTTGGCTATCATAGAATAAATGCTGATACACTGCCTGGCTATCATAGAATAAATGCTGATACACTACTTGGCTATCATAGAATAAATGCTGATACACTACTTGGCTATCATAGAATAAATGCTGATACACTGCCTGGCTATCATAGAATAAATGCTGATACACTACTTGGCTATCATAGAATAAATGCTGATACACTACCTGGCTATCATAGAATAAATGCTGATACACTGCCTGGCTATCATAGAATAAATGCTGATACACTACTTGGCTATCATAGAATAAATGCTGATACACTGCTGGGCTTTCATAGAATAAATGCTGATACACTACTGGGCTTTCATAGAATAAATGCTGATACACTGCCTGGCTATCATAGAATAAATGCTGATACACTGCCTGGCTATCATAGAATACATGCTGATACACTGCCTGGCTATCATAGAATAAATGCTGATACACTACTTGGCTATCATAGAATAAATGCGGATGCACTGCCTGGCTATCATAGAATAAATGCTGATACACTACTTGGCTATCATAGAATAAATGCTGATACACTGCTGGGCTTTCATAGAATAAATGCTGATACACTACTGGGCTTTCATAGAATAAATGCTGATACACTGCCTGGCTATCATAGAATAAATGCTGATACACTGCCTGGCTATCATAGAATACATGCTGATACACTGCCTGGCTATTATAGAATAAATGCTGATACACTGCCTGGCTATCATAGAATAAATGCTGATACACTGCCTGGCTATCATAGAATAAATGCTGATACACTGCCTGGCTATCATAGAATAAATGCTGATACACTACTTGGCTATCATAGAATAAATGCTGATACACTACCTGGCTATCATAGAATAAATGCTGATACACTGCCTGGCTATCATAGAATAAATGCTGATACACTACTGGCTATCATAGAATAAATGCTGATACACTGCTGGGCTTTCATAGAATAAATGCTGATACACTGGGCTTTCATAGAATAAATGCTGATACACTGCCTGGCTATCATAGAATAAATGCTGATACACTGCCTGGCTATCATAGAATAAATGCTGATACACTGCCTGGCTATCATAGAATAAATGCTGATACACTGCCTGGCTATCATAGAATAAATGCTGATGCTGATACACTGCCTGGCTATCATAGAATAAATGCGGATTCACTTCCACTGCCTGGCTATCATAGAATAAATGCTGATACACTACTTGGCTATCATAGAATAAATGCTGATACACTGCTGGGCTTTCATAGAATAAATGCTGATACACTACTGGGCTTTCATAGAATAAATGCTGATACACTGCCTGGCTATCATAGAATAAATGCTGATACACTGCCTGGCTATCATAGAATACATGCTGATACACTGCCTGGCTATTATAGAATAAATGCTGATACACTGCCTGGCTATCATAGAATAAATGCTGATACACTGCCTGGCTATCATAGAATAAATGCTGATACACTACTTGGCTATCATAGAATAAATGCTGATACACTGCCTGGCTATCATAGAATAAATGCTGATACACTACTTGGCTTTCATAGAATAAATGCTGATACACTGCCTGGCTATCATAGAATAAATGCTGATACACTGCCTGGCTATCATAGAATAAATGCTGATACACTGCATGGCTATAATAGAATAAATGCTGATACACTGCCTGGCTGATACACTGCCTGGCTATCATAAAATAAATGCTGATACACTGCTGGGCTTTCATAGAATAAATGATACACTTCTGGGCTGATACACTGCCTGGCTATCATAGAATAAATGCTGATACACTGCCTGGCTATAATAGAATAAATGCTGATACACTGCCTGGCTATCATAGAATAAATGCTGATACACTGCCTGGCTATCATAGAATAAATGCTGATACACTGCCTGGCTATCATAGAATAAATGCTGATACACTACTTATCATAGGCTATACATAAATAAATGCTGATACACTGCTGGCTATCATAGAATAAATGCTGATACACTACTGGCTATCATAGAATAAATGCTGATACACTGCTTGGCTATCATAGAATAAATGCTGATACACTAAATGCTGATACACTGCCTGGCTATCATAGAATAAATGCTGATACACTGCTTGGCTATCATAGAATAAATGCTGATACACTGCCTGGCTATCATAGAATAAATGCTGATACACTGCTTGGCTATCATAGAATAAATGCTGATACACTGCTTGGCTATCATAGAATAAATGCTGATACATTGCCTGGCTATTATAGAATAAATGCTGATACATTGCCTGGCTATCATAGAATAAATGCTGATACACTGCTGGCTATCATAGAATAAATGCTGATACACTACATCATAGAATAAATGCTGATACACTGCTTGGCTATCACTGCTGCCTGGCTATCATAAAATAAATGCTGATACACTGCTGGGCTTTCATAGAATAAATGCTGATACACTGCCTGGCTATCATAGAATAAATGCTGATACACTTCTGGGCTTTCATAGAATGAATGCTGATACACTGCTTGGCTATCATAGAATAAATGCTGATACACTACTTGGCTATCATAAAATAAATGCTGATACACTGCTGGGCTTTCATAGAATAAATACTGATACACTGCTTGGCTATCATAGAATAAATGCTGATACACTACTGGGCTTTCATAGAATAAATTCTGATACACTGCTTGGCTATCATAGAATAAATGCTGATACACTGCTTGGCTATCATAGAATAAATGCTGATACATTGGCTGGTTATCATAGAATAAATGCTGATACACTACTTGGCTATCATAGAATAAATGCTGATACACTGCTTGGCTATCATAGAATAAATGCTGATACATTGGCTGGTTATCATAGAATACATGCTGATACACTACTTGGCTATCATAGAATAAATGCTGATACACTGCTTGGCTATCATAGAATAAATGCTGATACATTGGCTGGTTATCATAGAATAAATGCTGATACACTACTTGGCTATCATAGAATAAATGCTGATACACTACTTGGCTATCATAGAATAAATGCTGATACATTGGCTGGTTATCATAGCATAAATGCTGATACACTGCTTGGCTATCATAGAATAAATGCTGATACATTGGCTGGTTATCATAGCATAAATGCTGATACACTGCTTGGCTATCATAGAATAAATGCTGATACACTGCTTGGCTATCATAGAATAAATGCTGATACATTGGCTGGTTATCATAGCATAAATGCTGATACACTGCTTGGCTATCATAGAATAAATGCTGATACATTGGCTGGTTATCATAGCATAAATGCTGATACACTGCTTGGCTATCATAGAATAAATGCTGATACACTGCTTGGCTATCATAGAATAAATGCTGATACACTGCTTGGCTATCATAGAATAAATGCTGATACACTGCTTGGCTATCATAGAATAAATGCTGATACACTGCTTGGCTATCATAGAATAAATGCTGATACACTACTTGGCTATCATAGAATAAATGCTGATACACTGCCTGGCTATCATAAAATAAATGCTGATACACTGCTGGGCTTTCATAGAATAAATGCTGATACACTGCCTGGCTATCATAGAATAAATGCTGATACACTTCTGGGCTTTCATAGAATTAATGCTGATACACTGCCTGATACACTGCTGGCTATCATAGAATAAATGCTGATACACTGCCTGGCTATCATAGAATAAATGCTGATACACTACTTGGCTATCATAGAATAAATGCTGATACACTACTTGGCTATCATAGAATAAATGCTGATACACTGCTGGGCTTTCATAGAATAAATGCTGATACACTACTTGGTTATCATAGAATAAATGCTGATACACTACTTGGCTATCATAGAATAAATGCTGATACACTACTTGGCTGATACACTAGGCTATCATAAATGCTGATACACTACTTGGCTATCATAGAATAAATGCTGATACACTACTTGGCGATCATAGAATAAATGCTGATACACTACTTGGCTATCATAGAATAAATGCTGATACACTACTTGGCTATCATAGCATAAATGCTGATACACTGCCTGGCTATCATAGAATAAATGCTGATACACTACTTGGCTATCATAGAATAAATGTTGATACACTACTTGGCTATCATAGAATAAATGCTGATACACTACTTGGCTATCATAGAATAAATGCTGATACACTACTTGGCTATCATAGCATAAATGCTGATACACTGCCTGGCTATCATAGAATAAATGCTGATACACTACTTGGCTATCATAGAATAAATGCTGATACACTACTTGGCTATCATAGAATAAATGCTGATACACTGCCTGGCTATCATAGAATAAATGCTGATACACTACTTGGCTATCATAGAATAAATGCTGATACACTGCCTGGCTATCATAGAATAAATGCTGATACACTGCTGGGCTTTCATAGAATAAATGCTGATACACTACTTGGTTATCATAGAATAAATGCTGATACACTACTTGGCTATCATAGAATAAATGCTGATACACTACTGGGCTTTCATAGAATAAATGCTGATACACTACTTGGCTATCATAGAATAAATGCTGATACACTACTTGGCTATCACAGAATAAATGCTGATACACTACTTGGCTATCATAGAATAAATGCTGATACACTACTTGGCTATCATAGAATAAATGCTGATACACTACTTGGCTATCATAGAATAAATGCTGATACACTACTTGGCTATCATAGAATAAATGCTGATACACTACTTGGCTATCATAGCATAAATGCTGATACACTGCCTGGCTATCATAGAATAAATGCTGATACACTACTTGGCTATCATAGAATAAATGCTGATACACTACTTGGCTATCATAGAATAAATGCTGATACACTACTTGGCTATCATAGAATAAATGCTGATACACTGCCTGGCTATCATAGAATAAATGCTGATACACTACTTGGCTATCATAGAATAAATGCTGATACACTACTTGGCTATCATAGAATAAATGCTGATACACTACTTGGCTATCATAGAATAAATGCTGATACACTACTTGGCTATCATAGAATAAATGCTGATACACTACTTGGCTATCATAGAATAAATGCTGATACACTGCTTGGCTATCATAGAATAAATGCTGATACACTACTTGGCTATCATAGAATAAATGCTGATACACTACTTGGCTATCATAGAATAAATGCTGATACACTGCCTGGCTATCATAGAATAAATGCTGATACACTACTTGGCTATCATAGAATAAATGCTGATACTGATACACTGCTTGGCTATCATAGAATAAATGCTGATACACTGCTTGGCTATCATAGAATAAATGCTGATACACTGCTTGGCTATCATAGAATAAATGCTGATACACTGCTTGGCTATCATAGAATAAATGCTGATACACTGCTTGGCTATCATAGAATAAATGCTGATACACTGCTTGGCTATCATAGAATAAATGCTGATACACTACTTGGCTATCAATATCAAGCTAACTAATAATTAATAACTTTACTTTAATAAGTAGACTTTTTTTTTACAAGATTATTCATTGATGAGTATTTTTTATATTTATCCTTACTGTTAGTAATATAAACTCCAGCTAATCCATGTTTTAATTCCTATAATTATTCATCCAAATCTGTCTCGATCTGTCAGGTATAGTCATTAGGTATTCCTGATCGTTTGCAGACAAATGTACCTGGTGTACCCAATAACCCCGTGATGATATCATAAGGAAGAATATTCTGGGGAATACCACATTCCAGAAAATAATTTATAAGCTGTCTTTGCTTGATAAGTTACCTACAGAACATCTGATATGATTATTGTAGTGCCATTATCAGTATGGGATTTGACCAGTATATAGTGTATTAGGGGTCCTGAATGGGGCAAATATCGAGTACGTAATTATCCCTGACTTTAATCAGATATAAAAAATCAGTTTAATATAATATAAACTTTACTTTTACAACAATTGCGAAACAAGTTATTTCAACTTATACTAATCACTCTTATTGGCCCAGATGTAAGCACGCCATTGGTCCCATCGTAGGGGAAACCGGAGTACCTGGGGAAAACATGCATGGTCGGGCAGGTGACCCTTTACCTTTTCATGTCCATTCCAGGAATCAAACCCCAGACCACTAGGTTATGAATGGTCATGTACATCAGCCTATTAAAATTAACCTAATTAAGGCATACACAACTTTTGATGAAAGATTTTTAACATTTCTGTCCGTCAGAAACATTTAAATCACAACACTTCATTCTTCACACTCTGTGAAAATGTAGTTCTGATGATATCATGAACATTATGAATGGTATTATTTATTGAATTTAGTGTAGTTCTTAGCAGCTGAAATGACTCTTCAATATGAGGAAGTGTTTTTATCTGTAAATTAGCCATTTGTACAATAATTACAAATCATAAATCATACTACAAGCTGTTGGAAATCTGCAGCCACTAAGTTCAGTTCATAAATCTTTACATATATATATATATGTATATGATGAAAGGGGCGTAGGTAAAGTCAGTGGGATGGAAAAACAAATTGCAAGTGATTGTCATATGTATGGACCTATTTTCAACAGAAATAGTCAAGGTTTTCTTCTTTAACTATAATATGTATTAACTCTTCATTTTCTCATGCATACTGTGAAAAATACATATAAAAAATTTGACTAAAACCTGTTCAACAAGTAGTGATAAGGAATAATGCCTCTTGATCCTTTTCAAAAGGATGTCATATAAAATAGGTATAACTTCCCACCAGTCATCATCATCCTTTCCTCTTAAACATTAACCCATCCATGCCACCCATCCAACCATCAACACCCATCCATCCCCAGCATATCAATCCCTAACTTCATTAATTATAACTGGGATAATCTTTTTCAGTTATCACCGGTTTAATCTACATTTGTATCTCTTTACATGTATTCTGAACTATGTACATCATAGTAACAGTCAAACTCGTAACTTCAGCCATGAGTAAACATATGACACAATACTGAACCAAATCACTTACAGCCCTGGCCCCACTTGTATAAAACGTCTCAACTTGAGATTTCCTCAAGTCGAGATTTTCCTCAGCTAATATCTCCTTGAAAATATCTTGTATGAAAATTCCTCAAGGAATTTCAGGACATCCTAGCCGATGCCTTCCTCCTGTTCCTTGAGAAAATTTTATACAAGCCGTTTTTGAGGAGATATCAGCTGAGGAAAATCTCCACTTGAGGAAATCTCAAGTTGAGATGTTTTATACAAGTGGGGCCTGATCTATAACATGGTCTATACAATCTGTACCCAAAAGTTAAATGTAAAACAAAAGTAATTTGGATTTGTCAGACAAATGTGACTATGGAACTTAATTGGTGGATAACAATGACAAAGATAAAATATTTTGCAGTAGGTGACATGCACCATTGGTCACAACATTCCTATTTATGTTTGATGTGACTTACCACTGTGCAGGAGTGACATTTCAATATGTAACAAATGAAGGCATTTCCTTTTTCTCGGGCTATAAATCCAAACACCTCTGGTCTTTCCTTGCCCTGTCAAAGAAAGAAGACTGTTTTAGTATAATCTTACATATTAGTAAAAGATTTCCATTTCCTGTAGAATTTATAATAATTTACAATTTAAAATAAGAATGATGTACTTAAAAAATCCTTTACCAAAAATACAACAGTGCACCAAGCCCTGTCAAACCTACCTAAAAAATAAGCAATATTGAGATCATGTAAAGTTGGTGATTAACTTCAATGTAACAGGAGACATCTCTTTGCATCTATGCAAGTATCTTTAAGGAAGCTATTTCAGTATTCCAACGTGAATCCATGAATTTGCGACTTGGCACTGAGCTATAGATTCATGTAATTACTGTAAATATGAGGTCACATAAAAAACCTTTACTAAATGTAAAATCCGTCCTTTTTTTGTATCATCATAAATCAGATTAAAAAGAATTAGAAATAGAATTAAAAGTTCTTGCCTTTTCTATCAAATGCCCATATTTGGCAATAACTCTGCTAAGGATTATTGCAAAATTCTGAGATGCAAATGCTTTTAGAAGTTTTAGTATGGAATATTTGTAGTAAGCTTCATTGAAATCGGTCCATAAATAAAGGTAAAGTAAGCACTAATAAGGAGAGGTTAATGGATAGACAACCTGTCATCAATGGGCATATAAAGGTAAAGTAAGCACTAATAAGGAGAATTTAATGGATAGACAACCTGTCATCAATGGGCATATAAAGGTAAAGTAAGCACTAATAAGGAGAATTTAATGGATAGACAACCTGTCATCAATGGGCATATAAAGGTAAAGTAAGCACTAATAAGGAGAGGTTAATGGATAGACAACCTGTCATCAATGGGCATATAAAGGTAAAGTAAGCACTAATAAGGAGAGGTTAATGGATAGACAACCTGTCATCAATGGGCATATAAAGGTAAAGTAAGCACTAATAAGGAGAAGTTAATGGATACACAACCTCTCAACAATGGGCATATAAAGGTAAAGTAAGCACTAAAAAGGAGAGGTTAATGGATAGACAACCTGTCATCAATGGGCATATAAAGGTAAAGTAAGCACTAATAAGGAGAGGTTAATGGATAGACAACCTGTCATCAATGGGCATATAAAGGTAAAGTAAGCACTAATAAGGAGAAGTTAATGGATACACAACCTCTCATCAATGGGCATATAAAGGTAAAGTAAGCACTAAAAAGGAGAGGTTAATGGATAGACAACCTGTCATCAATGGGCATATAAAGGTAAAGTAAGCACTAATAAGGAGAGGTTAATGGATAGACAACCTGTCATCAATGGGCATATAAATAGAAAAAGGAAACTATTGGAAAATACAATTTCATAGTAAATACAGTCATTTTAATTTCTATAGAATGGTTTGCTTTGAAAAATATCAATATAGTAGAACCCACTTAATGTCACATCTGTTAATGTCATTTTCCAGCATCTCTTAATGTCATTTTCCAGCATCTGTTAATGTCATTTTCCAGCATCTGTTAATGTCATTTTCCAGCATCTGTTAATGTCATTTTCCAGCATCTGATAATGTCACTTATGTGGGCAATGCTAAATATCACTTCATTTTCCGACCATCATAAAAAAAAAAACACAGGTTAATTACAGTTAAGTGAGGACAGGACCTAAGGAGTCATGCCTGAAATGTCATACGTCATACCTGGACACATTATGTAAACATTGCCATTGCCCTACTGGCCAACTTTTCACACCTTGCAACTCCCGAACAATAAAACTGACCTGCTTACCTGTACGGTTCAGCTAAGTCAAAGGAAGCCTAGTGTATTTGTTTTTTATTGGCTCATGCATTCCAAGCATTTTAAAGGTTTAAAACCCTTGTCACTTGGAACATGCCAATGTGCTGTCGAAACTTCTTGAAAATAAGACTTTAGCATGCAGACCAGGATCAATTTCAAAACAAAAAAGATTAATTTGCAATAGACATTTAGGAGAATAATCAACCATGAACCATAATTTACGAAAATTTGTGTTTGTTTTGTTTCTTTTTACAATGACCCATGGGATACCATTGTAAAAAAGGTATCATATGTAATTAAGATTGGAAACCCAATTGGTCATAAAAATATCAAAATATCACCGTTTTTCATATTTCTTCAAATCATTTATTGCTAAAATTACCATGAGCACTGGTAAGGTGACGTTGAAATGTTCTGAAATGCAGTTTTCACTATGCTGTGTTTCACAACATCTGATCGGCCATTAAAAAAACCCACTAATTTAACGACCAATGAAACGAGATGTTTCAAAGGTGAACAATTCACTCTCCTGGCTATTTTCGTCGTCATGGATCAAGTTGCAATCTTCAGAGCCCATTTTAATGAAGTTGCAGAGATATACACTGCATATTTACCAATAGTAATGAATGAATAAATTATATGACAAAAATTTTAAAAACTTTCAATGTCAGGAAAAATGCATCAACTGTTAATGTCACGTTCCACTTATTATCACACCTGACAAGTAGAGCATGATATTAAGCAGGTTTCACCGTACAAAGTTCTGATAGAACAGGTACAAAAACTGTTATGTGCATATATGTACAAATACCTTACCTGTGAGACTGAAGATATGTCTTTGAATCGTCGATCAAGGATAGTTGACTTCTTGTCGAGACTGATAAGTGAAATATCACTGGCTCCCAAACAGAAAAGCATTGTCTTATTGGGATTGTCTCTTGGTGACTCACAGTGATGGGTCTCACTAAAATGAACATGGAGTTCTTTATGACCTTGATCAAGGTCAACACTGTTACTATTGCTAAGATGATCCCTTGCAACTAATTCACATATCTCTTCACGAGAATCACCTGACCCCGACAGACCCCCAGCTGAATATGAATGAGAAAAGTGTCCTGAATTTTCTAGCACATTTTCAGAAGAACTTATACCATCACTACATCCAGACAGGTCATCTGCACTACTGGATGGACTATCTATATGGATGGTGCTGCCTTTCAGGCGCTCATTCTGCGCCCCAAGTTCATTCTCTGTGACTGACACAACTTCATCAAGACTTGCTGGCAGACTTTTAACACTGGCACCACTTGCATGGCGTTGACGTCTTTCATTCTGCTCGTCCTGCTTCTGTTTTCTTTCCTTTTCCTTTTCTGATAGTTTGTGACACAGTTCATCGATGTGGACACAAGTTATCTTCTTAGTGTTGAGTTTGGCACGACCCACGTACATGACCTCGTAGAAGGCCTTTGCTGGCTCTGAAGCTTTTGTCTCCACCATGTCTAATGTAATATCTCGTCTTGTAGCCTCCTGAATGCTACAGAACAACTCAGGTACCTGCAACACAAAACGTTATGGCAAATAATTATTTGTCTAATGACAAAAGGATTCTGTGTTTTCATTAGTACTGAAGTGTTTAAATGATTTCCCAATTAAATAAATTGGAATTCCTAATATGGCCTTTTCAGCATCACTAACTGCAGAACATGTAAAGGTTAACCAGGTTATAACTACAGTTTCTGTAGTTGATTATACCGTAATGATGCACTCTTCTAAAGTAAAACCTGCATGTAATACATAGTCTGCAGGCTGCTACACCGACAATCTACTGATTAATCTCAAATCTTCACTACCTTAAACAAATAAAGATAACACAATATGTTACATCACATCAACATCAGGCAGACATGTCATGTGCAAGTCATCTTAAAATTTCAGGGCCATACATGACCAAATACACGGGACAAAATCTCTATAAAGTTATCGTACTTTTATCAAAATAAATTATTCTCACCAGGTATACAACAGTGTATGGTTGATCTGACAAGCTCTAATATCCAAGTTTCTTTGTTTGGTTAATGTACAGATATAACATTAAAGGAAAGGGAAAATGCATTACATTGGAGAAGTAATCAACTGACAAGCGGGCTTATTGTAATTCAAGTCAGGATGAATTTCTCAAAAAAAGAAATCTATTTTATCTTTATTGCAATATAATTTTGTCTCGCGCACTCCATCTAAATACCCTATAACATAATGATCAGACATATATCTGTCTCAGCCACTCCATCTAAATACACTATAACATAATGATCAGACATATATCTGTCTCAGCCACTCCATCTAAATACACTATAACATAATGATCAGACATATATCTGTCTCAGCCACTCCATCTAAATACGCTATAACATAATGATCAGACATATATCTGTCTCAGCCACTTCATCTAAATACACTATAACATAATGATCAGACATATATCTGTCTCAGCCACTCCATCTAAATACACTATAACATAATGATCAGACATATATCTGTCTCAGGCACTCCATCTAAATACACTGTAACATAATGATCAGACATATATCTGTCTCAGGCACTCCATCTAAATACACTGTAACATAATGATCAGACATATATCTGTCTCAGGCACTCCATCTAAATACACTGTAACATAATGATCAGACATATATCTGTCTCAGGCACTCCATCTAAATACACTGTAACATAATGATCAGACATATATCTGTCTCAGGCACTCCATCTACATACACTGTAACATAATGATCAGACATATATCTGTCTCAGGCACTCCATCTAAATACACTGTAACATAATGATCAGACATATATCTGTCTCAGGCACTCCATCTAAATACACTGTAACATAATGATCAGACATATATCTGTCTCAGGCACTCCATCTAAATACACTGTAACATAATGATCAGACATATATCTGTCTCAGGCAATATTCTTTTAAAACATTGTAATATGTTTCATGATACTATCTGTCTTAACGGAAGGACAAGTTGTCATCCCTTACATCAATAGCTTGTCAGAAACCATTCAGAGCATAAACTGTGGTCCTGGCATTGCAGTGGCCATGAAACCTCACAAGACACTCTAAAATATCCTAGTCTACCCTGAGGATAAATCACCCAAAGAAAATGTCGCAGAATGTGTATACAACATCGGATGCAAAAACCATATATCGGAAAAACAGGCACGAGATTTGGGGTCCGCTTCAATGAACAAGGTGACTGTGTAGTCATCAAAACATCACACCCTTATCTTCTACTGGTTATGTTATAAGAATTTGTATTCTAAATTGTAACATGTTTGGTGACAGTGTCTGCCCTTGTCACTGTGCCTGAATGCATTGTAACATGTTTGGTGACAGTGTCTGTCGTTGTCACTGTGCCTGAATGCATTGTAACATGTTTGGTGACAGTGTCTGCCCTTGTCACTGTGCCTGAATATATTGTAACATGTTTGGTAACAGTGTCTGTCCTTGTCACTGTGCCTGAATATATTGTAACATGTTTGGTAACAGTGTCTGTCCTTGTCACTAAGCCTGACCATTGTAACATGTTTGGTGACAGTGTCTGCCCTTGTCACTGTGCCTGAATGCATTGTAACATGTTTGGTGACAGTGTCTGTCCTTGTCACTGTGCCTGAATGCATTGTAACATGTTTGGTGACAGTGTCTGTCCTTGTCACTGTGCCTGAATATATTGTAACATGTTTGGTAACAGTGTCTGTCCTTATCACTGTGCCTGAATGCATTGTAACATGTTTGGTAACAGTGTCTGTCCTTATCACTGTGCCTGAACGCATTGTAACATGTTTGGTAATAGTCTCTGGCCTAGGCTGTGTGCTTAGATGCATTCAATATGGTTGGTGATTGTGACTATCCTCGACACTTTGCCAGAATACTTTGTAGCTTGTCTATTGATAGTGTTTCTTCTAGCATTGTGCCTGAATTCATCGTAATACCAGTATGTTTGGTGACACTAAGCCATATTTGATACATTGATCCAATTTGTATGTGTTTGTTATATCCTGGTACCTAACATAACCTTCTTACCATTTTGTATATCCTAACTGGTCTATATCAGGACTATATACATAAATTTTATTGACACATCAAAGTACTCTGTTCTTGTTACCCATATAAATGGTGGTCTCACATTCATTAATCAATAGTTCTAGCAACAATATTCTCATTATTACATGATTGTGACGTCAACTTTAATATTATTCTTCATTAATATTTCAATATTTTCATATATTCAAGTCAGCTGTATATAACCTTGAGTATCTAATACATTCTTACATAATTAAGGAATATTCTGTTTATTAAACGGGACAGGTGTTTGTATGCACAAATGGGTTGGTTGTTGTTTGCTGAAGGACCAAATATGTCCCTCTGACAGAGGAAGACCTGAAACCACATTGCATAATTTTGTAGCAGCTTAAATTGTCAATCAATAGCTGCACGGACTGGAAACACAGAGACGGTAACGACACGTCAAGCCTGATCAATATACTGCTATTCCATACTTAGTCATTGAATCGTTTTTTTTTTTTTACTCCAGGACGGGAAAATCTTACAAACACACCATGTGAAAATCAAAGATTTTCCCTTGCTATCTCATGATTTGACAGTTGCCTTATGTACAGAAGTTGCTTGATATGTTACTGTAGACTATCCCAAGAAATATTAGCATTCTGGTACGGTTAACCTTGATAAAGTGAATCCACACTTGTAAACACTTGGAAGTGGAGATAAAGGGGTGTTAAGGAATTCTCTATCATAACAACTGTATGGTCTCACATCAACAATATTCAGACATGAAATTATCACATAAACTGAACAGTGGTACTTTTTGAATCCTTGTTCCATATTTTTAGTGCGGGACTTGTGTCCATATCTCAAGAAACGATTATATCTATCAGTAATGGGACTCATCAAAAATGTTAGAAATCATGTTCTGAACTTGCCTGATAAAACAGGATAAATTGTTACAAAAAATACTGGAACTGAAAGCAGTTAAAGAGAAATATGATGAGATAGATGAGAAAGGGAAATCTCAATCCCTGGGTAAAGATAAATAACTTGCCAAACATGTGAAAGGCCTTCTGTATGTCAACTTCTGCTGAGAAATTTCCTCCTTGGAAGACTCTAATAATAACCTAAGTATCTTTGAGGAGATAGTCATACTGTGTTTTGACAAAAGGTCAAAAGTACATGTACTGCTTAAACAGATACTAAAACAATCCCTGTAAATGTAAAGAACAGTATAAGTGACTACGACATCCTCTAGATATATATATAATGCCAAAATAACTCATTTTTGAAATAGGATAATGAGGGAATCCATAAAGATCCTTGTACATTTTAAATGACCATGTACTTTTTCACAAATATTGAAGTTTTGTATTGTTATATACACATAAAAGAGGCCTATGAACCTTAAGACCTATATATGATGGCCATAGATTTAAGACAGCCCCATTAAATAACAACAGTTGCATGGTCAGAACCATCGAAGGATCATTTCAGACATGTTTCAGCTCAATCCTACTCACGGTACTTGAGAAGAAGTTTACAATAAGTGTAAAAGTTTGCACAATCATGATACAAAATGGCTACCAATGCTGCCATATTGAACTTTTGATGGGCTGAATAAATACTTTGCAGGCTTAAGGCTTCCTTTCTTAATCATCCTGTCCAATTTTCAGCTCTGTGGCATCTGTGCAACATATGAAGAAGTTTAAAATGTGTTTTTGAAGATGGTGGCCATATTGGACTTATGACCAACCTAAAAAATTACAACACTTTAGTCAGGTTCATCTTGGGATTATTTCAGGAAAGTTTCACCTCAAACTTTACTTAAGAAAAATTTTACAACAGAATTTTGGTGCCCACCATTGTTTGATCCTCATATGATTTGTCCTTTGAAAGTTGGATATTTTCACTTTTTTCTCTTCTTTCCTGTGTTTTTGCTTTGATCTATACAAAATTTTTAAATTCCTCTAAGATATAGCAAAAGTAATCTGTAACCACCCAATCCAATATGACTGCCTGCCTTTCTTGTTTTTCTTGTCCAAAGTCAAAAGGGCACAACTTGGGACCAACAGAAATCTACATATGAATTTTGAGAAAGATCCAGTGCTTCTCAAGAAACAGTGACAACATTCAATCTTTGAGTACCAAAGTCCACGATGGTCACCTGGCAGCCATTTTTTTTTTTATCAGTATCAAAATCAAACAAACACATGTAGGGAACTAGAGAAATAGAGATAACCATCTTTCATCGTCTAAATACAAGATGGCCGTCTGTTGGCCATTGTGTTTTTCTGTCCACCCCTGAAATCAAACATGTACAACTTGTAATCCTTTAAGAGAAATTTGAGAAAGATCCATCTAGCACTTGTACAAATGGACAGACAATGCATGTAGGGTGATTTGAAATGTGTGATAAAAATATGAAAAGTTTAGACTCTGCATACAACGCATTGTGTACAGCGTATGATGACAAACAAAAC